GAACCGTTGTGAAGTTTGTGGACGGCTGGCTCAAGAAGAGTGTGTGAACACGGATGACTGCGCACATCTGTCCGAACTGTAACTCCGACGACTCCGACTGCACGTGCTTGTGGGCGTTAAGTCAGAATCGTCAGGCTGATCTGTCAGAAGCCAGAGTGAATGATTGCAAGCTTGAAAATGTGATGCTCGTCCTTCACGTTGCCCATTATGCCGGTGTTAGCCATGTTATTGGCTTGTTTTCTGTTTATTGAACACATTTTGAATGCACCATTTTACCATCAAGCAAGTCGTACCATTGGAGATTCGGATATTTGGCCAGAAGTTGACATTTATGATACCCGTGCAGGCCCATACATCCCACCTGAGCAACCAAAACAGGGGTGACAGTTACTGTCAGAACAAAACAAAACAACACTGATTGTTACCAACGGCATCAATCTGTCATCTCGCGATCATGACAAATTAAAAACGTCAGACGATTGTCACTGTTCAATGTCGTATCGTATTTAACTTGCTTGCAATGCAACCCACTCTATGCGAAAAACAACACTTTTCTGCCCACCATGCGACACAGCCCACCATGGAGTGGGGCATGCATTATTTGAGAGAGGTTCGCTCGGGACTTACCTTCCGAAAAACAAGTACGGATCCTCTCCAAAAGGTTGCTGCAGCACCAGTGCGGCCCGAAGCTGACGTTGGACCACCTGCCATCTCGCGGCAGATGTGTGCGTTAGTGTTTTATGGTCGTGCCGGTCGCAGATGGATGTCGCTCGCGGGCTGCTCTCCAGTATATATGTTCGAAATAGTGTTTTATTGTCCTCTTGTGGCTCTCTCTTGGTTGCGTTTCGGCTGCGCGCCGCTCATACAGGAGCGCCTTCATCGCGCCGAGTCTCCACCTCCTACTGGCTTGGTGGCAGCGCATCGTTCACATGCCTCCAAGTAATCCTTGGATCCCGGCTGCTCCAAGTACTTAGATCGGTGAACCTTGTTTGATTTACACCATTTGCGACACTGTATCACGAGATGGCGGCGGCGCCTACACCAAAGCGGTGGGCGCTCACGAAAATTGAAGCCATAACTTTCCTTGAACATTGGCGTCAAAGTCTCGGGTACAACCTGTCGTCGGTCTCATATTGTACACAATTTCTCAAAGGTGTACAATAACTGAAAAACTGCAGCTGTCCGACACGGATCTTGTTGATGACAGCGAGGACGTGCCGGCCGCCATGCGCCGAACGGCGGAGCGGCGCGCTGCCCACTTCGGCCGTATGCTGGACCAGATCGCCAGCTTTTGCCCCGTCATTTCACGCAATACCATCTCCAAAACTTAACGTCACTAGCTCAAATTTGGCAAAGTAATGGTCTTCACTACGGGTTCCACTCGTGCAGCACTCAACAACCAGATTTTGCAGGGATTCGCCTCGAATATGGTGAACGCCCCGAGGACCTCTCCCAGCGCCTGATGACGTTCAAGACAACATGCTGAAGGTCGAGGTTGAAATCACGGATCATTCCACCTCCTTTCACGGATGAGAGCTTGTCCCCAACGCTGGAAAGCCTTGTCCGACTGCTCTGGCTGTGACCCACTCATGCGGACCTCCTATCGCACGTTAAGCAGCAATCATGTTTGCAGCTCCGTTGCCGCGCCCTGGCCACGCTGAAGCCACATTGAAGCCGCGCTCTGGCCATACTGAAGCCGCGCTGAAGCCGCGTCCTGGCCACGCTGAAGCCGCACTGAAGCCGCTCGCCATTGCCGCGCCCTGGCCACGTTGAAATCGCGCGCTGAAGCCACGCTGAGGCCGCGCCCTGGCCGCACTTAAGTCGCGCTGAAGCCGCGCCCCGGCCACGCGGAACTCACGCTGAAGCCGCGCCCTGGTCATACTGAAGCCGCGCTGAAGCCGCGCCCTGGTCACGCTGAAGCCGCGCTGAAGCCGCGCCCTGGCCACGCTGAAGCTGCGCTGATGCCGCGCCCTGGTCACACTGAAGCCGCGCTGAAGCCGCGCCCTGGCCACGCTGAAGCCGCGCGCTGAAGCCCGTGATCAGTCAGACGCTGGGCTCTGCTGGCCGAGCTCCCGTCGGCGGAAGACACGAAGGTGCTGTCATCTGTCGCCTCTGACTTAAGCCGGGCAGCCAGCTGCGACTGCCGGGACCTGCCGCCATCCTCCCGCTCCAGCCGGCCGAGTCCGCTGGAGGTGCTTGTCATCCGCAGAACTCGCCCCGCTCTATGCGGTCTGCAGGCGACCGGTCGCCCTGGCAGTGATATCCTCCTTCTGAGCCGCTGCTGCTGCCTCCCGGGGCCGGGCCTGGCGGTTCATGGCCGGTGTCCATCTGATCGCTGGTTGTGACCTCGTTGATGGCCACGTATGCACTCCAAAACCGTCGTGATCTGTGCCTCATCAATGATCCTGCATCCACCCATTGTGATCCGACCCCACAACAGGATCCCGCGCGGCGAGTGCAGCCTCACCCATCTGCGTAACGGCACGCATATTAAAACCATCATCCACTGAGGCTTACGCTCGACACCGGCGCCGAGGTCAGTCTCAACCGCCCCTCTCTAGCGTCTCCCATTGGCGCTAATGTCAAGAAGTCCACCCGGTCCGCCTATCAAGCCGATGGCCACTGACCACTGTCACTGGGTAAACTATCCCGTCCTCGCGCCGTGACATGCACGCGCTTTCCCTCCAAGCTCTGGGGGTTGAAGGTCCAACGTCCACATTCTGGCCGGCTCTCTCGCTCTTCATGCCTTGAACGACATATCTGAGCACCCTACTGGACGTTCTGTGTCCATCAAGGGTCGTTAAGCATTCGGGTATTCCAACCCCCACCAGAGGGTCCTTCATCGCTCTGTTCGAAGCGCCCCTTGCGCAGTGCTGGCTCCCGCCGAGACCATTACGCTCAGGCCCGGACTCAGGCCCACACAGATCCCACAGCCGGGCATGCTGGCCCGGACTCAGGCCCACACAGATCCCACAGCCGGGCATACTGGCCCGGACTCAGACGCACACAGATCCCACAGCCGGGCATGCTGGCCCGGACTCAGGCCCACACAGATCCCACAGCCTGGCATACTAGCCCATACTCAGACTCACACAGATCCCACAGCCGGGCCTCCGAGACCATAACGCTCAGGCCCGGACTCAGACTCACACAGGTCCCACAGCCGGGCGCAAGAGCCGGCGGCGCAGCTGTCAGCCGATGGTAATGAAGTTCGCCAACACTTCCAGCTGATTGTACGGTAACGTCACAAAGCCACCAAATCACTGCCAACCTGGTGAGAGTTTGCGCGTCTAGACCCGGCAATTTAGTGATGGGACCTGGACGCTTCTCGTCACATATCGGTCACTGCCAGTCGGTCGCAAATGCAGACTGAGAGTCGTGCTGTGGGAATGGGTTCATGGCTCACTTTGCATGACCTCTGAGATGGATATGAAATGAGGCCGGATGGCTAGGGTCATGACTGAACAGAACTAGGCGAGTATATAGACAAGGCCGGATGGAAGCCGACGGGAAGAAACGGGACGATACGACCAGGTGGAATCAGACAGGATCGAAGAGCATCGTAAGTGACGGAAATGAATCGGGTTGGACAGAGTGGCATCGCACAGACTTCGACAGAACCGGACCAGATCAGAGAGAACCAGATGTGACATCATGAATGGAGGCAGAACCGGGCGAAAACAGACCAAATAAGAGGGAATCGTACAGAACCAGACCCAACGGGACCGGATGGACCCAGGAGGGACCTGACCGAACCGTGCGTGACCAGAGGGGACCAAATGGGACTTGCCGACGGAAGACCTCCTGTTCGTTGCTGTGGGTTTCTCACCAACACATGGCCAATCTTTTTTCGGGTACCCAAACAACACAAACCGCGTGCCCGGCCTTGCCTCGGTCTGGAGCTTACTGCTGGGCATCGATGGTCTCTGGTCGAACTAGAGGCCTGCATTGCTCCAGAGAATCTCTATCGATGCAAGGGTCCATCTGACTGACATCTGAAGTCACGGCCATACGTAGTTGGATCCTGAATGTGACCTACAGCCAGCTCTCTGGGCCATTCAGCTTTCCAATCAGCCTTTTGATTGTCAGCCTTGAGGACATATTTTGGGCCTCTCTTCGAAGTTCCTCAAGCACTGCCCTGGTCGAATCGGGGCCCATGCTAACTCTGGGCATCCCCGTTACGCACTGTGGACCCTTGGCCAGCCTGGTGACCCTCATTGGCTCCGGGGCCTGACCAATGTAAACTACGGGTCCCGGCCTTGTAGTTGCTTAGGATATTTGTCCTCAGGTCCAGACCGATACGTAGCCGACTGTTCGGTACTGACGCCGCCTAACCAACATAGGGGACCTCGTTGACTCAGGGGTCCCCAGTCGACGTAAAGGGCCATCTGGCCGGCATTGGGGGATATGACACTGCACGTCGGGCCGGCAGGAGGGGCACGCGCTCATATGCCCTCGTTCCTGCCTGCATTGCTGCCCAGACAAAAGTGAAGGGGTCTCCCAGCAAGTGCGAAGAGATCAGTGGCAACGTAGAAGGCATCTTACCGATCAGATGAGCCCGGCAAATGAGCATACAGACGTCTAGCAAGAGCGACCTTTTGAACAGCGTAATGAGCCTTAATCTTTGCCTTGCCACCCTCTTAATCAGCGAAAAATTATTTCCGTCTACTCATAGACCCTTCACGTTTGCTTGCGACTGTTCTTGATCGACTGGGGGCCTAAAGTTGTCAAATTTCGTTACGTTTTGTGCTAAAAACTGCTTCTGTCGTGATGTATATGGGCCCCTTTGGGACCTATGGACCCCCTGGAGCCACAAGAAAGGCCGCGTTGCCATGCTCCTCCTCCCCCCACCCTCTGGATCCTGAACTAGACATATGCGGTCGTGTACAAGCTCGTCGACAATTTGGCGGAAATGCAGTTTTATGACGTGGTCGTACAATCAGCTGGAAGTGCTAACGTTCACTATAATCAGCTGACAGGTGCACGCCTGACTCACACACCCCTGTAATGGAAAACGCCTTCTAGTCGTGCTTTTTAAGACGTGGACGGTAAGGGAGAAACAGCATCAGGAGAATTGAACACTGGTAGAATCGTGAGCTGTACGCACGGCGAACGGCACGCCCATATATAGGTACGACCAGGGCCTGTTGTGATGCGGGGTCTGACCATGATATAGGCCTTGGGGCATATCAGGGCATATGTACTGAGTTTGTTTCTGGTGCTGTCCTTTCCATTCCTTGTGTTCAGCCCTGGTTTATCTCATGGTCATGCAGGTAGGCAGATACAGGATTTGTGAACACATTATTGAGCATTTATTGCAAACTGTGTACAGTGATTTTTTTCTAATGTTAGGTAGGAAAGTACACCCTGGCCTATATGTATATGTATATATGTGGTGTGTGTGTGTGTGTGTGTGTGTGTGTGTGTGTGTGTGTGTGTGTGTGTGTGTGTGTGTGTGTGTGTGTGTGTGTGTGTGTGTGTGTGTGTGTGTGTGTGTGTGTGCATGTGTGTGTGTGTATTGCCTCACTGATGCAGGTAGCATAGCAGTCTGTTCCATACATATGATGCCCTTTGACATCTTACAATTCTTTTCAGCCAGCCTGTATTCTTACTATTGTTTTATAAATGTGTTATGCACCATGTTAACACTTCCAATACTTAACATATAATTTGTTTTGCCATTTTGCTATACCACTTCACTCCATTGGCTTGCAATATATTTTGCAGTACTTGTGCACCTGCTACTTTCTGGCACATGAGTTTTTGCCAGCTGGTTTAACAGGCCTTGAAAGAAATGTTCCCTATTTGAAGAGTATTGGAGCCAGCATCAGTATGATAAAGTAAACTTATTTGTGATTATTTGTATTCTTTTAAGTGGAAGACACTGCTCTAGAGAATTCAGTTTCTCTATTTAGAAAATATGCTCCTCAAGGTGTCATTATTTGATTGCATCATATCTAGCATAATGTTGATTGAAAGCCGGTTGGCTGTTGTCATACCTGTAAATCATCTTGAATGCCCAAGACACAAACAGACACCTATGTTCTTGGCTTGAACACTGCATGGCCAATAGGTGGCAGGATTTGAATGATGTTTGCATTGTGTCATGCATGCTTGAATGACCTTGAAGTAGTCAACATGTCTATGGGCTTGTAACTCAGAAACTAAAAGGTTGCAGGTCTGAACCCAGCATTGACTGGGGTTCCAAATCTGCCCCCATGTCCAATATGCTTGATAATTCAAAAACATCCTCATATTCTCACAAAATGTTCAGCATCTGTTAATGGATGAATTCTCTGCATTGTGTCCAAGTATTGACTATGAAAGCAGGATAGATTGAGTGTGGATAACATCAGAGTGATATGATGTTAGCTAATTTTTCTTACAAAAGTGCATATCCATAAACAAATTGACACAGAAGCTGAATGAAAAGCATGCATTTATCTGTTAACAGAAAATGTGAGCTAGTTGGTCAATCATTCAAGTGCTTTTTCATTGTGTAGCTTTAATATTGCACATTTAAATATTGTCATGCAAAATAACCAAAAAATTGTACAAAGTAGACTCAACATTGTTTGGTCTCAGTCTCAAAATTATGCATGCATAACAAAAAGCATCCTTAAGATGATTATGAAGGATGCCTATACAAAGTCTCAAGCAATTTTCTGTAATAATGACTAAGTTATGGCTCAAAATGCATGACAGAGCATGTTGTCCATGCCCCGGTGGGCCCGGGTCGGCGCCGGCAGGCGGCGGAGCTCGGGTCTGCCGCAGCAGCGCGATGGCTGGGCGGCGGAAAGGGTTTACCAGTTTCAGGCCCTAACCAATGGCCACGTGACTATGGGTGGGGTTGAAGGGTATCAGGCTGCGCTGTTGGCAGGACCCAACCGTCGAAAACGACGCGGAAATCGAGCCAACCTTATTCACTATGAGGTCACCCATTTGATTTGTCCTTGACAGCTTATGAACAAGAAATAGATCTTGCTCATGTGTCTGATGCCCATAATTAAAGCTTAGCTCTTCCATACGCTTCTGCCTTCCACACGCTGCTAACTGAAATACGTGGTGGGAGTGGCCAGATATTCCAAAAGAACATTTTTGTAGTTGGACCTTAATCTGTGACCTTAATACACGCCTAAACTCAAATTGCTATGCGGTCTGGGGCCACACGCCATGGTGTTATTGATCAAAACTTTAATTTTTGAATTTGGCTGGCCATTCTTAATATGAGCAGGGGTCGAATCTGCCCCCCCCCCCTCCGATCAGTGGTGTGCCATTGAGGAGCTCGATGAGTACTGGGTTAGGAAGGACAGGGCTGTGAACTGCACCAAATGATCCTCAAGATGGCTATTTCAGTTCAAAACCCCATACAAATGGAACACCCCTTTAAAGGATGACAGCACCGTGAACTGAACTGAATGATCTTCAGCATGGGTATTTCAGTTCAAACCCCCCATGCTGATGTGGAACACTCCCTTTAACCTGCTGGCTGAAACTGTTTCAGATGAATGCTGTCCACCATGTTTGCAGGGTGATGTGTATCGTGTTTTAGCTTATATGAGTCACACCTGGGATCTTGTTTTTGCTGGAAGCTTTTTGTTGGTTTTTCGAAAAGTTGAGCATGTTCGACTTAAGGTATTTGTTTGTGTGCCAGGGCGATTGCATTATCTCAATAAATTATAAGTAAAAGTTAACTTGCAAAATAATCATGGCAAAATAAACCAAAGTCGGTTACCAAATAGCATTGAAATGAGGCACGAACTGGATTCTTAGCTTATTTACAGCTAGCCGGCTGGTCGACGAGATCAGCTAATGGCTGGTGACTAATGCGTAGTTTTTGCTTTGTTGGGAAGGAGTACAAGATATCATGGGACTTAAAATGTATTATTAAATGTGGTGCATAAGTATAATATGTACCACAACTTCAATAACCAACGTACATGATACATACGACGTTGGCGGCATGTAAAATTATGTTCAACAATTACGCGTATAAATTCACCGGCCTACATCCGACTGCCGCTCTAAGGCGAAGGCACCAAGGCCAGTAGGGACGGAACTTGAGCGATCATGGGTGCCGCAGGAGGCCAACAAAGAGGCTCCCGTCGACAAGTGTAGGGTTCTCAAAGCAAGCGAAAAGAACACAAGACCAACGTGGTGGCCCCTAAATGATCGGTAGTGTCCCGGCAGGCTGACATATAAGGCTCCGGCCAGAGCACAGGACCATCTGAGCGAAGGGAATTACCCAAGGCCATGAATTAATGCCCCTGTGCGATCGAAAGTGCCCGGGCAGATTAACAAAAATGACCTCAATAAAAGGTAAGGGTCCTCCGCGAACGAGATCGAAGGAAAGGTGTCCTTAATTCATGCAGAGTGCCCCAGCGCATCGAGTGGGTCGGTACCTTACTTTGCATGGGCCCTAGCAACAGTGCAAGACTTGAGGAAGTGGAGAGCACCCGAGACTAATATGAAGGGCCCCTGAGCAGCTGAGTATACCCCGGTGTGTGGGGCCCCGGCAAAAACGCATAGAGGCTTTCGGAAGTATAAGAAGAATCTGTGGTGGGCCGCTGATTGATCAGGAGTGCCCAGGCATGCTTCGCGCATAGTGCCCCAACAGAAGCCGAGTGCCCTACGAGGAAATGCAAAGACGCCCAGGACAACGCGGAAGCGTTCTTAGCCATCCTCATCAAAGTAGCACGTCTGGATAGCGTAATGACCCTCAAAATGTCCCCCAGTCACAGTCCCCTCAATCAGCGAAGATTCATCTTGGTCTGCAAGGGTTTTTCACGTTGGTTGCGACTGTTCCTAGGGGGTGCCGGTAGTGCAGTGGTTGACGTGTGTGCGTTAACCATTGCGCGTCGGGGAAACCAGAGGTACGGGGTTCGATTCCCCACGGTGCCCGCCCTTCCTGCCCGGGTGAGAGGCAGGCGACGCTATGTAGCCTCAGCATCTGAGTGCGTTGTAAAGCCCCAATGACACACAGACACACACGCTGGTCGTCTTGAGGCCCAAAGGCATTCAATTTTGTCGTGTTTTGTGTCAGAAAATTGCGCCTGCGCGGCTGGTTATGGGCCCTTTCGAAGCCTATGGGTTTCCTCGAGGCACAAGGGGACATGGTTCCGTGCTCCCCTCCCCCCCCCCCCTCTGGATCCGCCATTGGCCCGAGTAGCTTAATAGATGGGTCTCGACAAGAACATAGGGTGAAACACTCGAATCAGAAATAACCAAGACACAATATGGAGGGCCCAGGAATGATCGAGTGTGCTCGAGCAGATTAACAGATGGGGCCCCGACAAGAGTATAGGGCCATCCATTCAAATAATGAGTACCCATGACACAGTTTGGGGACTCCCAAACGGTCGAGTGTACCCAAGCAGGTTAACAGATAGAGCCCCCGACAAGAGCGTGGGTCTTTCCATTCAAATGGGAAGTACCCAAAACCCTACGTAGATGGCCCCCGAACAATTCATTGTAGCCGATCAGGTTAATTTGGAGGGCCCGAGCGACCGAGTGTGCTCAAGCAGGTTAGGAGATGGCCCCCGACAAGAGCGTAGGTGCCTAAGCAATTGCAAGAAAATTGGAGGTGCCCTAGACCAATGTAGGGAGCCCATGTGAATGTGTCTGTAGCTGAACCGAGACCAACAGAAAGGGCCCAGGAGTAACCGAGAATAACCCCGCAGATTAACACATGGGCTCCCGACTAAAACGTACAGAGCCTTTCGGGCGAATGGAGAGAATCCGTGGGAGGCTTTGACAAGAGTGCCCCGGCACACTGTCAGGAAGGGCCTGGCAACAGCGTTGGGCCCTGCGAGTCCGCATATCTATGGGCTTGTAACTCAGAAACTAGAAGGTTGCATGTCTGAACCCAGCATTGATTGGGGTTTCAAATATACCCCCACGTCCAACATGCTTGATAATTCAAATAGCGCAAATGCAAAGAAATCGAGGGTAAGGTGGTCACATAGGGCCCCAGAAACAACGCAGGGCCTCTGGAATGTGTTATGAGCCTTAAATTCTCCAGTCATCACCCTCTCAATCAGTGAAGAATAACCGCTCACGGGCCTTTCACTTTCGATCTGTTGGTCGCCGGGAGGCTCAGAGACGTCCGATTTCGTTGCTTTTGTTTAAAAACCGCGTCTGTTCGGTAGACCTTGGGGCTCCTTCGGAGCGTATGGCCCCGAAGGGGCCTAAGGGGCGTGGCCCCATGGGCCCCTTCCTCTCAGGATCCCCCTGCTTAGAGAAGTCTGACCCCTGTGAAATACCCCGAACCACTGTCAGCCCATGTGAGTCTTTCTGGAAGGTACTTTAGGTGTTTGACATCGTGTGGTGAAACGAATTTATGTCATTTTGTAGCTCACATGCTTTTGCCAGTTGAAGTTGGCTGATGTTCAGAAAGCTGTTAAGTTCCTCTTTAGCCTTTTGCTACAAATAAAGAGACTCGTGACTTTTCAGATGTAAGGACGTGGTGAATTCTGTTGCCTTTATGATTCGTTACTCTGTTACGATCCAGCCCGTGACCCAGGTACCCCTCCAGTTTTGGTTTAAGTGCATGGAGAGAAAAGGAAGAATGACGCCAAAAGCGAAGGGGCTACTTGTTGTCATGCCCTTTTTTACGTTATTTTTGGAAGCAGTTGGGTTTGGCTAGTTGTGGCGTGAATGTTAACCAATTTGAACGGCGGACAACCGCCTGCTTAAAAACACGCAGGATATTTTGTACTGTCTTGTGCTGAAGCAGCAGTATTTTCCGGCTTATTTGGGTATTTTTCTCCTTGGAGATTGGCGGAATTATGACTTCTTCCGAGCTAAGCAATAGAGCTTGGTATTTTGCACGGAATCATGCAGGCGGCTAATAGATCCTGAGTAGTCTTTCGCGCAGCGATCGTATTTGGCCTACACGAATGCAGTCGTAGAGTTTTTCCCGACGGCTCGCGCGTGCCTGAACACTCCACATGAGTGGAACCACTGCCAATGTGTTTGACTACTATAGCGGAATGCCAAGTTACGAACTTAAAGACAACACTGACTCTGTTGCCATGGGCTAGTTTAAAGAAATAGTGGTTTTAACGTCAACAGATGGAAAAGATATCACAAATTCACGGCAAATCAAATTTATCGATGTGATCGTAGACTACTCTTTCGTGGGAGAGGCACGTGCTTGTCATTTTAAGAAGTGAGAGGTTCTGATTTGTTCCCCCAATATCAGATGTGCCGTTAAATGAATGCCTTTCATCCAATAACTGTGAGTCGCTTCAAATAATTGCCTCATGGTATCGTTCCCTGTTTCTCATACGCGGAGTGGAATGAAAGATGTTGCGATGCGGAGCGGAGCGGACCATTTGGTGTAAAAAGTTAAGATTACTTTGTGAGATCATGGACCTATCGCAGGTCAGTCAGGTCATGGTTTCAGCGAAGGCAATTTCTAGGGAATCGTTCAATCTGACCCAACAACGTCGTGTTAGAAGTCATAGATCTTTGAGATACTTTCTTAGGCAAGACAAAAATTGAATGAACAAATTTCATTGACCTAGGGTCAGGTATGAAGGTTAGACCAAGGTCAAAACCGACATGTTGTATTACTGTGGTGCTCGCTTTATGGGGTAGTTTCTGGCGCCCATTTATAATTTATTGATGACAAGGACCGCATGATATACCTTTAATAGGCTTATTCAAGGTCAGCGGAGGTCACTGACGTAAAATGACCCAGGTCAGCACTCTGCTTTTAGGAGCATACTGCCTAGCGTAATCTTTGTCGCGTATTCAGATGCAAGGCTCAAAGCAGTCTTATACGATTTTGGACACCTTCAAAGGGGCAAACAATGTCACTGACCTTAAATGAGCATGTGAACTTTTGCTAAGAACAGTTATCTAGGTTCTGGGGGCCCTTTGGAGACCAATCTGGAATATGACCTTGTTTGACCTCATTTGACCATTGAAGAGCATGACTTAAACCCTGATCTAAGTGAGTTCACGTGAAGGTCAACACACCCTGTGAGTTGGGTGTTTCTAGCTCTCTTAGTTCCTGAGATCTCAGGGGGATGTCAAATTGAGCCCTCACCCGAGCGAAGTGTACCCAACCGGCCACCCCAGCGTGTGTTAACAGTGTTGCCCACCCATGATAATCACATCGTGGAAAAAAAATGCTGAAAGGCAACAAGCAGAATAAAGTTTGGTTGCAAGCATCACTGATGGCCTAATGTTTGAGCTTAGATGTAAAAGCATCGCAAAGCCAAATTGAAAAATGAGATCTTTCATTGATGACGCTCTTGAAATATGCGTATACAGGCTGAAACAAGGCCCACCAAGCCCATGTGGGCCGTCGTTAAATTACGGTGCATGTTTTTAGCCATTGTTCTGCCCTCTGCCCTCTCCCCATCGGTTGCGCCAACCGACCCCACCCATCCTGGCTACGCTGCGTTAAGCGTAGTCCTAAAAAGAGTGTCCGTTTGATCCCTTGCAGAACTATAGATATGGAACGAAAAACGAACGTGCTCCTTGTCACGTGAGGACGCAGGTATATCCGTCCTTAAGGACCTAGCAATTTTTTTAAAATATGATTATTTGCAACCAGACCTAAGTGTAGTGTTATGTTGTCCAAAGGTTCCCCTTTTCCTATATTACGGTTCGGCTACTTACCGAAATGTTCCCCTCCATCCAGCCATGCATAAAATAAGTTATGGACGACCCCTTCGGCATATAGAGGATACGGAACCCATACGGTGCATGCTGGTTGTCACCCCCATGTTTACATTCGCGGATCCAAGGGCTTGGGGTGTGGAGGCAACAGGGTCATAGGATCCAAGGGTTTGGGGAGGGAGACACAGGGTCATAGGATCCAAGGGTTTGGGGAGGGAGACACAGGGTCATAGGATCCAAGGGCTTGGGGTGTGGAGGCAACAGGGTCATAGGATCCAAGGGTTTGGGGAGGGAGACACAGGGTCATAGGATCCAGGGGTTTGGGGAGGGAGACAGAGGGTCATAGGATCCAAGGGTTTGGGGAGGGAGACACAGGGTCATGGGATCCAAGGGTTTGGGGAGGGAGACACAGGGTCATAGGATCCAAGGGTTTGGGGAGGGAGACACAGGGTCATAGGATCCAAGGGTTTGGGGAGGGAGACACAGGGTCATAGCTCACCGTCCCGGACTGGTGAAAACAACTTATATAGTCCAGGTATGGACAGTTGTGTAAAGTTTGGATCTAGCTTCCCCAGACTGGGTGCTGGATGTAGCCATTGGAGACGAAGCCGGACTACTGGCATCAAAGCGGAACCCGAAGGCGATACGGCGGTGTGAAGCCAAAGTCAAGGCCAAAGTTTGTCATTGCGAAGCAGAAGTCAAAGCCGGTGGCTTCGCAGTTTTGAAATAAGAAGCTGAGTTCAAAGTCAGTGGCCTCGAATTTAGGTGTGCTCGGAGCCGAAGTGGAGTGCAATAAATTTCACACAAAACAAACAATCCAGACGTGTCTGCTGGGCAAACATCTCGTCACATACCCTGGACGTAGAACCACGAGTTCGCAATGTTCAAATGGGCTAAATTGTTTCATAGCTTGGGAGTTTGAGTAAAGTCTTGTTCTTCCATGACTCAGTATTGCTCGTAACTGAATGGGAACATATTCGGATAGCTGCAAAGCGCCATGGTAGTGTCTTTTGAAAGAAATAAGCGTTGTATTTAACCGCATAGTAAATCGAGTTTTCTTCTAACAGGTGATGCTGAAAATGGGAAGCTACGCCGCACGACGCGCACGTCGCCCAGCGAACCCTGTCTATGTAGCGAGGCGAGCCGGGCTGGAGCAGCACTGGCCTGACGGGGGTCTGCCGTGGGAGATGGTGGCGAACGAGCCTCGCCTGTGGGAGGCTATGCGTCAGGCAATGCCAGAGCAGCAGCTGAACATGCTGGAGTGCCGTATCCCGTGGACGGTGGAGCGGTTGCGGGTGCTTGAGGCCGCCACCCGGAGGGCGAGCCCGAGCCTGCCGCAGCTCCCTGAGCCGTCCAGCTTGGAAGTGGAGCCGAGCCTTTCCACGCAGCCACCAACCATGCATCAGCCACCGAGCCGCGCGCCGGTCCAGGGCCCTCGCGCCTCGCCCCGGCCCGCTGGCGCGCCGGCCGCCGGAGACGTGGAGCGGTACCGGCCCGTCATCCAGAACCTGGCCAGCAACCTGGGCAGTTCGCACTCGCGGGAGCTGGCGTACGAGCTGGGGCTGCCCATCGGCACGGTGGACGGCCTGAAGGAGTCGAGCCGCTCGGTCAGCGAGTTCACGCGGTCGGTGGTGGTGCGGTTCCTCAGCTCGCCGTGTCTGCACCGCGAGGACCCGATGGACAAACTGCTGACTGCTCTGCGGCGCATGAACCTGAACATGACGGCAGATAATCTAAGCGATCTCATGGACTTCGAGGGTCTGCGGTAGGCGGAACATGTGCTGCTCCGGCCTGCGGTAGCCGGAGCATGTGCTGCTCCGGTCTGCGGTAGGCAGAGCATGTGCTGCTCCGGTCTGCCTTAGGCGGAGCATGTGCTGCTCCGGTCTGCGGTAGGCGGAGCATGTGCAGCTCCGGTCTGCGGTAGGCGGAGCATTAGCGTGTGGTGCTCCGGTCTGTGAAACTGGTCATCATTATCGCTTACATTTCAGGGTGTTCAGCTGTGCTGTACACCTGGCTAGGTGCAAGGCTGCGGAGAGTCGGTCCCCAATCGAGTTATGTAAGGAGGGTGGCCTGAATTCCTTGTGCTAAGAACGAGCGCAGGTGTTTTACCCAGAACTTATTTTAAGCAGTGTTTATTGGTACATTCAACAGGCAGCCACCCACGCGAGAACTGCTATCGTATCTCAGTTAGGGTTGGCTAGCTGCGAGGCTGTACTTACAAACGGGCGTAGGTTTGCCCTGCTGTGCGACATTCTGGTATGGTTGCCAGTTTCATCCTGATCATCCGGATCATCCAGCCATCCGGGTCTTATATCTGCTCGCTTGCAGTTATCTATGGTATGTAGCGCGGCAGGCATAATGTTGTTTCGCAAATGACACCGGTGCATCGGAGTCCTGACCACTGTGTGGGTGCAAAATTTTTAATAAGGCTTGTTAGTGCATGATGCACGGATGTTTACCTTGCGAGGGCCCATGTATCCACATGGGCCCTCGCATACGAGGCTCATATACACAGTACGTGTGCAATGATTATCAGCAAGGTGTGGGACCATCCAATGTCTCTGAGATTTGACTATGTTCCGTACAACACCAAACGCGTACCAGGGCAACCGGATGCTGCTGGTCTGGGCTTGGTGTCGTCGGATCGCCGCCGGTTGAAGATAGTGGTCCAGGTGCGAAGAGGGCATTGTTACACACCGTTTCATCAAAAGTTGGCGTGCTATTCAAGACGCTAAGAATGAGTTTGAATTGATGGGTGGAACCTGTGAGGAATGGAATCATAGCTGTAAGGTTCGATGTTGATGGCAAATGCATGCCACATTTGAACTGTTGATATTTGACTGCCAAGTGTGCGTGGCTGATTAGGCCACGTTGATAAGTTAGTCTGTCGCTGGGCAAGAACGAACGAATTACTAGGAACCTGACAAGCTAGATTCATAACAGTACGAGGCAATGTGGTACGCGTAAATGCAATACGAAAAATCTGTACATGAAAATAATTGTGACGCCTACAATTATGCGACGCTTCACGGGCGCAACTTTTTTCGTGAACAGCAACGTGAATGTGAAGGTTTACGTCCCGAGTTTTGCGTACGAAGGTCTCCAACACTAAGGTTTGCGGATTGAAATTTGTGTGCGACGATTTGCTTATGAACAAGGGCGATATAAAGTTCTGCGTGCGAGGAAACACGTTACTCAAAGATGTGATTGGTAGCTTTGCCCGGAGTGTCGCTAGTGTAGTGATTAACGCTTCTATACCAACCGCTGCGCGTCTGGGAAACCAGAGGCAGGGGGTTCGATTCCCCGCGGTGCCCGCTCTTCCTGCCGGGGTGAGGGCAAGCGACGCCATATAGCCTCAGCAGCTGGGTGCGTCGTAGAGTCCGAATGACAACATAGCTTTTCCCGACCTGGGACTCCCTCAAGTGAGTGTCATTATGCGTCATTTATTCATCAGTACAGATAAGACACCCGAAAACAGTGGAAACTTTCGTGGATGAGAAAAACGCTGTACCGATGTGGAGGACTTCAAACCATTAGATAGCCTTCGCGGGTTAGTTGATAGGATTTCTGTAATAGCGCAGAGCTTTTCAGGCAAATGAAAAAAAAAACAAAAACCATCGCAAAGGGTCTCAAAGCTATCGTGTATCCCCAGGCGCGAGGCAGCGCAGGGCGCCCCGAGCAAATGGAAGAACTTTGAGACCAATGTGGACGGCCACAGTGCGGTCGTGAGTGCGGTGGTGGAATGAGACATTGGGCGTCCGGTCTCATAAGACCCTGCAAGCAGAAGGGAAGAACCAGGGTCGTATGATTTCTAAAAACACGTGTTCGGGGGCTGAACGTTGGAAAATGGCGGAACCCAGTCCCTAAATAACGCTAGCAAACGAATTTTTTCTTGGATTTGACCAGCTTTCTGCCCGAAGTTGGAGAGACAGGAACTCAGATTCGGGGGGATGGGGGGGGGGGGGGACGCTCCAACTGAACAGGAAACAACACTGAGAAGAATAATTCGATATTAATGTGGAAGGCACCCTGGGCGATGGAGAAAATTCGCCCGGTCAACATGTGGGGATCTGTCAGCAGGTACAGAGCCCCTGGGCAGCGCTCTGGGTTATAGTACTGTTTTTCCAGTAACAGCTCTCACAAGCACCCAAAAGGTTTTTCTGCTCGTGTGACCTGCATTCCCGTGTGGTATGCCCGTTTCCGGCTTTGTCGAGGCTGGATGTTGTTGTTTTTCCTGCTTCTTGTTACAAATCTGCATTTATTCTGCCGCTGTTGGTTACCTTGAGAATTACAGCCGAGTGCACTGAGGAGAGCCCATTGGCCTCTGTGAGGAGGGGGGGGGGGGGGGGGGGGCGGTCATCTCCCCATGCGGCTCCCCCTGACTACGCCCCTGTTCGGGTGGTCCAAAAACCCGCATTAAACATTCATTTGGACAATTAAAGAGCACATCATGAAGGTCTGATCACATGCCCACATAGGGGTCGCCAGGGTCAAGCGCGTTTAGACACTAGGGGTCATTATTTTATTATGCCATTCGCATTTATGCTTGATTCGACGCTTGATGCTGGCGAGTTGTAGCTTCCCAGGTCTATGTCTTGGGACCAATCATGCGGTGGTGATCTGGTGCTGTGAAAAGATGGCTAGCAAGGAACGCAAGCCCAGCTACTTTTTATTGCATTCCAGCCAGAACGTTTATTGCGGGGGTGTTTAGTGGTCTTGTGACGTCACGCCTGCAATCAGCTGAAGGTTTTGTGACCTTCACAGGGCGCACCGTCTCGCATGATCAGCTGGCAGCCCCGCCGCGGCAGACCTCGCCTGATGGGGACGGTTCGGTGTTGATGGGGAACGAGAAGGCGAGTTGTTGGTATTGTGTCATGAGTTACAACATAGTTTGGCCAAGATTCTTAAAGCATTTGCAAATTTATGATGCATAGCGATACCAATTGGCATGGTTGTCATGCTGGATTCAGTTAATTCAGCTGTTTTGAGAGGCAAGCATGTGCAAACTAGCGGTACTTTGGGAGCAGTTTACGTGTCGTCAGTCCCATAAACCCGTCATTGCTGATAGGACCTGCTTGCTGCTCCATATTCATTGTTCCTGTCCATTTGTAGACCCACCTGTAGCTTGGAGGCAGTGGAAATCGAGACCACAGGTGGCCGAGCATTCAGATTGATAGGCTGGATGTAAGGATTGTGGCAGGCCTACCTTTGTAAGATCAGTGCATCAGACAGCCGTGGGCCCTTCTTCTGGAAAAAGGCCCTTGTGACTCTTACATATATATATATATATATATTATATGTATATATATATATATATATATATATATATATATATATATATGTACACATACATTAATACATTTGCATTTATATTGTTTATGAACATGATGCATATTTATTATATGAAGTTGTTTTGCCATCAAAGTTGTATGACAGTCATAACTTTATTTTAACCTGTGGCTAACATGGTTATGCTAACCTTCATGGTCAAGGGGGAGGGAGATCTAGATCCACTTCTGTTGCTGCGCATGTGCAGGCCATGTGAAATGCCCAGTGTCACTTGACAAAAGTCTCAGAGTGAATATAATATTTGGCTAAGTTAACAGAAAGGTCAGCTCACAGCTGGCTAATTGAGGCAAAGCAGCCATCTGGGTGGCCATGTTGCAGTATTGTAAATGTGTAAAACTCTATTTGGCTCTGTCTAATGAAAGGATCAAGATTGAATTGAATTGACTACAACTGAGAGGTACAACTAGACTGGTGAGTTCGTGATATATAGAACAAGGATTGCTTGGAAGGTACCAACTCTAGGCCAAAATTGTCCTTTGATCCATTTAACACCAATGAAAATTATTGGTTGACCTAAAATTAATTGCTGCTGTCCCATGCTAGCTTACAACATTTAGATCTTTTAGCCCAGTGATAGGCCTTTGTGATCTGGGAGATGCACTAGGGAGGCAAATAACTATTTTCTGCTTATTTCACAGGAATGAAATGCTAATGGTTGCAAAAACAGCCTAACAGATAATCAATGATGAAGACATCTCAATCCGAATCACTTCCTTCAAAACTGATGCATCGTCAGGTAAGTTGCATTCTTTTGTCATTCAGGTTTGCTTTTGGTGAACAATATGTTAATAAGGATTTGGTGAACAATATGTTTATAAGGAAAGCAGCCCAAGAAACAGTCAACCAACCTTAAATAAAGATGCTGTAAATGGGGTCATGTGATAGATAAGTAGACATGATGCATGATAACCCTATCTTACCTACTGCTGTCATGGATATGAAGGGCCACTTGGTCTGTTAGTTCTGTTCATGTCAAGCTCCTGAAATGGTGAGCTCCTCTCTCATGTATGGTATAAGGAAAGAGTACGTATGCAGTACGCAGTGACTGCCAAGTCAGAATTTCAAAGATTTTCAAATCTGTGTAGCCTGCCTCTGCTCTCTCCAAGTGTTCTACTCCACCTTGCTGAATAGTTCAAGGTGAGAGTTATATTCAGAATGGCATATTAACATTGTGCACAGTAATGGGAGGGTAGACCAGTAAAGGCATAAGTGATCCATGGATTACATCTAGCATCTGGGATGCCTGGAATACTGCAACACTGCTGCTGCTCTCTGGTCACAGAACTTTGGTCCACTGTGTGTCAAAAGTCTGGATCTTATGTGGTTCCAATGGCCTGGAGCTCCATGCCATTCCAGGAGTAAATCTTCTTGGCCATTGCCAACCTAAGTGCAAAGTCATGCACTTTTTCACATTTAACTGCAGGAACCAGGACTTGGACCACCACAACAAGGCATTCAGATCTTTCTGCAGTGTGGATCTGCCCAGTCATCTGTGCACACATTTGTATGAGCTGGTCTTGATGGTGAGGAGCTTCATAGAAACTTGTTCAAATCAAGGGTGGTCCAGACAAAAATGATGTATAAAGACAATCCCAACATGGATGCCTGAGCAATGTGACAGACCTCTTCACTCTAATCTGTCATGCAATTGGGCATGAATACTGTCAGTGACATGCCAAGAAAGCTGGAACATATTGGATAAGTTTGCTGTTGACATCACAGCCCTGAAGCCTATGAAGAAGGTGTTAGTGTTGGAGTGAATCAAAGGTCTTACTGAAGTTGATGCCTTCATTCCACTCCTTCATGGCATCCAATAGCTGAATGGAGCATGCATTTTTTGACAAAAATTTGCTTGAGCCTGGCTGAGCTTGTTTGTATTTGTTGTGTGCTCCAATAGGCTATACCATTATCCAATATTCGATATGCCTCACCAAGGAACCTTGCTTCATGGGTCAAACTGCTGCCCAGCCAACAGAGTGGTAGGAGGATGTCTATTGTCTGCTGTCCTCCTCGCATGTAGGGAAGACATGACCAAGTTTCCAGTCTGAGAGAAGCACACTGATGTCAATGGACTTGCAAAAGGCTTGCACAAGGGAACAGACAGTATTTCAAAAGATCCTGGTGAGGCGCTGGGCTGCCTTCAGCCAGCTGGTGGGCTGGAGGCAGACACATTCATGTCGGCTGAGTCCGCGGTGTGATGTGTCGGGTGGCGAGAGAGCAGTCCGCGGTGTGATGTTTCGAGTGGCGAGGGAGCAGTCCGCGGTGTGGTGTGTCGGGCGGCGAGAGAGCAGTCCGCAGTGTGGTGTGTCGGGCGGCGAGGGAGCAGTCCGCGGTGTGATGTTTCGAGTGGCGAGGGAGCAGTCCGCGGTGTGGTGTGTCGGGCGGCGAGAGAGCAGTCCGCAGTGTGATGTGTCGGGCGGCGAGAGAGCAGACCGCGGTGTGATGTGTCGGGCGGCGAGAGAGCAGACCGCGGTGTGATGTGTCGGGCGGCGAGGGAGCAGTCCGCAGTGTGGTGTGTCGGGCGGCGAGGGAGCAGTCCGCGGTGTGATGTTTCGAGTGGCGAGGGAGCGGTCCGCGGTGTGGTGTGTCGGGCGGCGAGAGAGCAGTCCGCAGTGTGGTGTGTCGGGCGGCGAGGGAGCAGACCGCTGTGTGATGTGTCGGGCGGCGAGAGAGCAGACCGCGGCGAGAGAGCAGTCCGCGGTGTGATGTTTCGAGTGGCGAGGGAGCAGTCCGCGGTGTGATGTGTCGGGCGGCGAGATAGCAGTCCGCGGTGTGATGTTTCGAGCGGCGAGAGAGCAGACCGCCTCGCCTGCCCATCCGGCAAGTGCCGAATGTGTTTACCGATGTTGCCGCACCTCAGTTGGTGCCACATCAGCACTACATCCGGGTGGTTCTGCGCGTGTCAGCGGCGGAGCATGGCGAGATTCGCCGAAGCGGATATGACGCGATATGTGCACTGCGGGTACGGCATGAAGGCTCTTGCAAGATGATCTTTGGTGGAGCAATGTTACTTCAGTCACATTGGAAACCGCTGTATTTATGCTTTCGTTCACAGGTCCAGGGGCATTTCCCCAAAAGATCGAAGATCCCAGCTTCGCTGTTCACAAAGTTTCCTGGCAGACTTGCATTCTGTCTGAAGGATATTGTTCCATCGCCCTCAGTATTGAGCAAGTAAGTGCTGGGTATGCTCAGTTGATGTCCGTTTGTCAGTCTAGCTTATGTTTCAATGATGACAATGATTAAAAGGTGAAATCCACACATTTTTAATGGATGGTTTTCTGTGATGAGCTTGCTTAAGCAGTGCTTGTTGTGTGAGCCTTGATCCGTGGCCTCCGACCGCCAAATCCAGGTAGAAATCAACGGTAGAATTTGGTGGTGAAATCTTAACGTGCCAAAATGCGCGACACGATCTAGCCTGCCCTTTGGCGTCAGCCGTCAACGGCAAATGGGGTCGGCCTGGAGCGGCCCGCACCCGCCCTGCCGCTGATGGGGGATCTCAAGGCAGTCGGTCGAGCCAACCGAGCTATCTGGATGGATCATTGCATTCCACGTCAACAGTGATAATGAATAATCTGATTTTTCATCGATTTGAATTTGTAAGAACTGACAGATGCATGTTCGGACGTCAAGTATCTTCATGTTTCATAATTCTGCTAGGTGCAATTCATGGCGGAGAGACACGGACCATCCGCTCCCTAGCTTTGATATCCCATTCACTCTGTTTAAGACCAGGTGATGTGCGTGAAATGACAAGGCGTTGGCTGGATTGACGTTGAAGCCTCTTGGTATATGACTTGCGTTTTGTGACGCACTGCGCGCCAGTGGCAGGGTGGGAATACCTTGCATTGACATAATTATTGCTGTTTCAGTCACATTTTCCTGGGATTCTCCAAATGTGGTCAGTTTGTTATTTCTTATACTCAGAGCACCGAGTTCGATGAGACGTCCATGATCTACATGCAATTCAGGTGAGCGCACTGCTCAATGTGTGTGTTAGCTCCGTAGCGGGGTGGTGGGGCTGACTGGTGCCTCGTCAGGGATCTTTGTGACAGGGTGGAGCGCGCGCTGTCTCTCGTCCGTCGTGTGCACTCACCAGTGTCGCTGGAAAGCGTGGAGCGCGCGCCGTCTCTCGTCCGCCGTGTGCACTCACTAGTGTCGCCGGAGAGCGTGGAGCGCGCGCTGTGTCTCGTCCGCCGTGTGCACTCACCAGTGTCGCCAGAGAGCGCGACGCCGGCCGCAGTGCCAGCGGCCTGCTGCCCTCCTGCTGGACATGTCTTGGCCGCTGCATGAGGCGGTGATCAGAGCCGCACGCCGTCCATAGGTACCGGCTGCACTGGTGGATCTTTGTGCCGCACCAGAAGCTGCGCAAGGCGGCCGAGGTGACGCTGTTCGGTGAGCAGACGGTGGAGAGCCGCCTGTTCCTGGCCGTCTGCTACTGGCCTGAGGAGGACCACCGCGTGGTGGTGTACGGCTGCAGGTGGGTCGGCCGGCCGGCCGGGGCTCCGGCGCCCGCCGGCAGCCGCAGCCCAGTACACTGCTGTTGGGGGCCAGCGTAGGATGTTGCCATCACACTGTTTTGGTAGGGGTCTGATGACGACAGGATTGAGCGGGAGAGGGGGGGGGGGGGGGGGGGGGGGGCGGAGGACAGCCGTGAACCTGCACACTGACGTCACCTGTGGGGTTAGTTACGCTTGGAGTGCATTCCGGGATGTCATGCCGTTTCGGGTTGTGGACGTAATATTATAAAATACTTGTGAATTAATGGTCAGTGGTGTTTTCTGTGCATTATGTTCTATCTGATGGAGGGACTACATGAGCTGCTTGAAACATTTTGTTTGAATTTGATTAAGATGCTTAATATCACAGACCGCCATCAGGTGATCGCAGGTGACAGGTGTACCATCAAGGAAAGTTCCACAAGATATTAAAGGTGTAACGTAGTGTACTCAAAGTATGCAGCATAGTGCTTGCGTGCGTGCGCGTGTTTCCACCGATGCTCTCCCTTCTTGCTCGTTTGTTCTCCATGCCAGCTGTCGCACAAACCAGCCGCTGCGTGCCAGAAGGTAGAACAAATGACACTTGTGTCCAAGTTAGACAATGGAAGGCTTGAAAGACTTCGTGACCACCGACCGCGTGACGTGAGCGAGTCCGTCAGATCGGCGACGTCCTGACCTGCACGGTAGTGTGCCGCCTGGACGTGTCTGGCTGTGGCGTGACCTGGCCGCCTGGACGTGTCTGGCTGTGGCGTGACCTGGCCGCCGCCTGGACGTGTCTGGCTGTGGCGTGACCTGGCCGCCGTCTGGACGTGTCTGGCTGTGGCGTGACCTGGCCGCCTGGACGTGTCTGGCTGTGACGTGACCTGGCCACCTGGACGTGTCTGACTGTGACGTGACCTGGCCGCCGTCTGGACGTGTCTGGCTGTGGCGTGACCTGGCCGCCGTCTGGACGTGTCTGGCTGTGGCGTGACCTGGCCGCCGCCTGGACGTGTCTGGCTGTGGCGTGACCTGGCCGCCGTCTGGACGTGTCTGGCTGTGACGTGACCTGGCCGCTGGTGGCCCTGTGACCGGGTGCCGCTGGTGACCTTGTGACCAGGTGCCACTGGTGGCCCTGTGACCGGGTGCCACTGGTGGCCCTGTGACCGGGTGCCACTGGTGGCCCTGTGACCAGGTGCCACTGGTGGCCCTGTGACTGGGTGCCACTGGTGGCCCTGTGACCGGGTGCTGCTGGTGACCTTGTGACCGGGTGCCACTGGTGGCCCTGTGACCGGGTGCCACTGGTGACCTTGTGACCGGGTGCCGCTGTTGACCTTGTGACCGGGTGCCGCTGCCGGCAGCGATCGATCCGAGGACAGCGTGCAGGGCTCGCGCTGCTACCTGACCATCACCGCCGTGCCCTCGCTGGACGCCTGTCTCGACTGTGTCCGTGTAGCCGAATCATACGGCGAGGACGGTAAGCCCCAGTGTGCATCGCCGCCTATCATTCGCGGACCATGTTGTGTTTATCTCAAACGCCTGGGTAACGGTATACAGCCGTCAGATGTGCTTGATATTAGGGACAAGAGCTTTCAGCTCCTTATTTTTGGCATTATGAAGTGAAGCTAGTTTGCTGAGTTATTGACCTTTTATATGCCTGAAGGTGCTGGTTAAGTTATGTTATAGCGGTAAGCAATATTGAGTACCTCCAATACAGTCATTGTTTAGCACTGTAGCGTCTTTTCACCATTACCTCCTTGTGTATTGAAGGTCGTTGACTTAATGGTCGTAAGCATTAATCATAGAATCATAATAGTCAGCAAAGAAGTTTGAGCTCGCGCAGCTATCAGTTATGGGTCAGTCGTGGAGTCAGTGATGAAATGAGTCCATGCTGAACACATAACGTGCATGATGCGTCCCGAATTCAGTCAGCGGTCGGTGACTGGTGCTGACTCTGACTGGCTGCCTGTGTGACTGGTGCTGGCTCTGACTGACCAGCTGTGTGACAGCTGCTGGCTCTGACTGGCTGGCTGTGTGACCAGTGCTGACTTTGACTGGCTGGCTGTGTGACTGGTGCTGGCTCTGACTGGCCGGCTGTGTGACCGGTACTGGCTCTGACTGGCCGGCTGTGTGACCGGTGCTGGCTCTGACTGACCGGCTGTGTGACCGGTGCTGGCCCTGACTGACCGGCCGTGTGACCGGTGCTGGCCCTGACTGGCTGGCTGTGTGACTGGTGCTGGCTGTGACTGGCAGGCTGTGTGACTGGTGCTGGCTCTGACTGGCTGGTTGTGTGACCAGTGCTGGCTCTGACTGACTGGCTGTGTGACCGGTGCTGGCTCTGACTGGCCGACTGTGTGACTGGTGCTGGCTCTGACTGGCCGTCTGTGTGACCGGTGCTGGCTCTGACTGGCCGGCTGTGTGACCGGTGCTGGCTCTGACTGACCGGCTGTGTGACCGGTGCTGATGTGCGGCCGACAGAGCTGGCCGAGAGCTGACCGGTGCTGATGTGCGGCCGACAGAGCTGGCCGAGAGCTGGGACTCGTGCGTGCGCTTCAGCTGTCTCCGGCACGGCGCCACTGTGCACACGAGCTTCGAGCTGGTGCCACCGTTCCCCGTGTTCCTGCCGCGGCTGAGTCTGCGCCGACGCGGCGCAGTGGTCATCAACACGGGCAACTTCCTGCACGTGGTGACGGCGCAGGTGGCGGCTCCGCGGCCGGAGCCGCCGCCGGCCGACGACGCCAGTTGCGCCGGCAGTGACCAGCTCTCGCTCAGCAGTCTGGAGGTGGACGTGGCTGAGGAGCCGGGGCCGGCGCCGGCGGCGGCGCGCGGCGGCCTGCCGTGGCGTTTTGACCCGCGCTCGCCGCGCGCCGACGACCCGCGGCTGCGCTCGCCTCGGCCGCCGGAGGAGGCGCGCCGGCGGCCGCCGCGACCCGAGCCGACCGCCGAGCGCGCCGCCAGCCCGGCCGAGCGGTGCGGCCGCGGCTGGCGGCGTGGCCTGCCTGCCGTCCGGCAGGCCAACATCAACGCCGACGAGTACGAGTTCTCCGAGGACGGCTCGGAAACGCACCGCGAGAACTTCACCGTTTTTCGCAAGAAGCGGTTGGCCGACAAGAAGTACGAGTTTTCAGACGAGAACTCTGAGAACGTGCCGCGCTTCTTCGCGGCGCGGCCGTCGGTGAGCGGCGAGGGCCCGTGCCTTGTGCCTGTCAGTGACGCGCTACTAAGTCCGGCCGGCGGCATCAACTCCAAGCGCCGCTTGCTGACGGAGGAGGCGGCTGCTGCCGCCGCCGCTGAGGAGCGCCGCTCGGTGGACGGTGACGCCGTGCTGCGTGCCATCAACTGTAACACCGAGCCGGAGTTGTTCTTCAGCAGCGCGGCGGCCGAGAGCGACTGCGAGTCGGAGGCGTCGCTGCTGACAGCCAGTCCGCGGCCGGCCGAGCGCGTGCGGCCGGCTGTCGTGCCGCCGCCGCCTGCGCCCGGCGCCTGCTGCGTCCACCTGCGCCGACGCTACGTCGAGGTCGACGATGAGCTCGTGTCCGTCATCACCGACGTCGAAGGTGGGCTATGTTGTGAGGATGGTGTGTGTTTTGTTTCTGGTAAGTAAACCTCACTTGATGGCACACAGAAACGCTCGCCTGGGAACGACGGTGCCGGCGGGCGCAGGCCGGCCGCCGGTTTGGTGGGATCCAGACGTTACTATCCTGGGGGAGCAGTGTGAGGGGTGCAGCTTCGAGGCGAGCTTAGAGGCCGTGCGCCAACAGGTGAGGGGCCGCACGGAGCAGGCCGAGGGCGAGCTGCCCGGCTCACGCCCACAGGAGGCTCAGCAGCGCACCTCGCCAGTGTGATGGCTGGCCGCTCGGAGCAGGCCGAGGGCGAGCTGCCCGGCTCACGCCCACAGGAGGCTCAGCAGCACACCTCGCCGGCATAATGGCTGGCCGTTTGGAGCACACGGCCTGCTTATGTTGCTCGTTTTATGCCCACGTCGTGGTCGTTGTTCCGATGCGTTTCTTTGCTTCCAGAAGTGTCGTGAAAACCAGTTCGACTAGGTTAGGGCACTTTTCGTCTTCAAAATGGAATGCAGGAGAGATAGCAGGCGGGGCAATACTGGGTGCGCGTGGGCTATCACTGCTGCCGTGTGTTGTCCGCACGGGGGCCAGACTCTGGGAAGCACGTGGGTTCTCGCGGGGCGATACCCTCCAGGGCAGCCCTGAAGCCGACTACACTACCTTGCTCTCAAAGCAATGTTTCATCGCATGGTTGGCATTTCGTGACAGGAGAGACTCGTGCGCAATCGCTCGTTGAGAAGCTGGGACACGTTCGTAATGGCCAGTGTTGTGGTGTGGCTCTTGCCCCCATGCGTAGCTCCTAACGTCATTGCATTTTAGTCAGACGTGTACAAGTTTGGCCTGTGTTTGGCCTGTGTGGGCAGCGGGGTGTTGTGATTGTGCGCTGTGCTATACAGAGGACGAGCTCGGTCGAGTGTTGTGCCTGTCCGCTGTGTTGCTGTGCTGTACAGGTGACGAGCTCGGCCGAGTGTCTTGCCTGTCTGCTGTGTTGCTGTGCTGTACAGAGGACGAGCTCGGCCGAGTGTTGTGTCTGTCCGCTGTGTTGCTGTGCTGTACAGAAGACGAGCTCGGCCGAGTGTTTGCCTGTCCGCTGTGTTGCTGTGCTGTACAGAGGATGAGCTCGGCCGAGTGTTGTGCCTGTCCGCTGTGTTGCTGTGCTGTACAGAGGGCGAGCTCGGCCGAGTGTTGTGCCTGTCCGCTGTGTTGCTGTGCTGTACAGAAGACGAGCTCCGCCGAGTGTCGTGCCTGTCCGCTGTGTTGCTGTGCTGTACAGAGGACGAGCTCGACCGAGTGTTGTGACTGTACGCTGTGCTGCTGTGCTGTACAGAGGACGACCTGAGCCGGTCCACGGGGTACCACTACGCCTTGCCGCTGGAGGTGCACGGCTCCGGATACTCCCAGATGCACATGGTCACCCATTCGAAGGCGGAGAAGCTGGTGAGAGCCACGCCCCGATCCTCGGACTGGCCGGCCGCTCTGTGGCCTCTTGAAACGATAGCCGACGAGAAGCCGCTTGGGCGCATCGTCTGCCAGGAGTTCGTCAGCGGGCTGGCTGGCAGGGGATGGCCGCCGCCCATTGCCGGCGGCGAGATGCCAAGTGGATGCTGAAACGCGTGAGGGGAGTTTCGCCCGTTATTTGCCTCTGGTGTCCTAAGTCGCCTCACTGTTGAGCGGCCAGCGAATATGCGTGTGGCGCGGTGCTACTGTTAGCGCTGGTGCGCTCCTCAGCCCCGGCTGACCCGGCCCGCTCCTCGGCCCCGGCTGACCCGGCCCGCTCCTCGGCCCCGGCTGACCGGGCCCGCTCCTCGGCCCCGGCTGACCCGGCCCGCTCCTCGCCCCAGCTGACCCGGCCCGCTCCTCGGCCCCGGCTGATCCGGCCCGCTCCTCGCCCCAGCTGACCCGGCCCGCTCCTCGGCCCCGGCTGACCGGGCCCGCTCCTCGGCCCCGGCTGACCGGGCCCGCTCCTCGGCCCCGGCTGACCGGGCCCGCTCCTCGGCCCCGGCTGACCCGGCCCGCTCCTCGCCCCAGCTGACCCGGCCCGCTCCTTGGTCCCGGCTGACCCGGCCCGCTCCTCGGCCCCGGCTGACCGGGCCCGCCCCTCGGCCCCGGCTGACCCGGCCCGGCACTCTGCCGTCCTGATGCCGCTCCAGGTGCTGCCCTGTGTGCTGGTCAGCCAGCTCAGCCTGGACGTCGAGCAGTTTTGCCACGAGATATCGCAGCGACTGTGCGCAGAGGCCGGCAAGAAGTACTGGTTCTGTAACGACTATGACGTCGAGGTGGTGGAGGTGAGTGGTGACAGTCAGCTGCTGTGCTCTCAGCACGTTGATAGTGAAAGTTAAGTGACAGCGGAATACCTGGACGTACAGTGATTCACATGCACCAAGCCCGGAGATCTAGTCGCGTGGGTTTACGAATGCGGCAGCCACTGGCTTACGAGCGTGGCAGGCGCTAGTCGACACGTGACTTGACTGGCGAGGCTGTGCTCGACACGTGACCTGACTGGCGAGGCTGCGCTCGACACGTGATTTGACTGGCGAGGCTGTGCTCGACACGTGACTGGACTGGCGAGGCTGCGCTCGACACGTGACCTGACTGGCGAGGCTGCGCTCGACACGTGACCTGACGGGCGAGGCTGCGCTCGACACGTGACCTGACTGGCGAGGCTGTGCTCGACACGTGACCTGGCTGGCGGGGCTGCGCGGGACACGTGACCGGGTGCTCTCGACACCGTCCGTCGATGTGAGCGCCGCCCCGGCTGCAGCGGTGTCCGGCCTGCCGTCAGGTGAATCCGGACTCAGGTGACGTGGTGGCCGTGGCCGTGGTGCTGGTGCAGGCCGCCGTCAAGATGAAGGGCCTCTCCAACGCCACCAGGTGAGAGGATGGCGCCTGCTGCGGGGACTCTGGCGGGGCGACGAGGCCTGAGCAGGGCTTATCCTCGACGGGCTGGCTGTCGGGCAGCTGTCATTTGCATGGCCCAGCCATTTAGCGCGTGTCAAGCTTCTTTTCGTTTCTGAAAGCTATTGGTGATCCTGTGGCATTGTGTGCCAAAAGTCGGCAAACAATATGACTGTCCCGTGAACAACTGATTTTGCAGTAGTCAAGCATGCTAAGGGCGCCAATCATGCAATAACACCTGGCGCTGGTTTCGACAAATTTCCAGCGCTTAGAGGTGTGGTTGAACTATACCGGAATAGGGCATATCAAAATTTATCCATTAGGGTGCGCGGCATGTAAATATAGATTGGTGTTACCAGACTTGCTGTCCGGCAGCCCCCCACGCACATTTCGGTGAGTGACAATCGATTGCCGTTTGAACCCCATCCCTGACATCTGACCTGCCTGGACGATCTGCACAGCCCGAGGCGCCCAGATGCTGGGTTGACCGCCTCTCGCTGCATGCTGATTGGTCGATTTAAGCAAGAGAAAGAGTGATAGGCGACGAGCCTCGAGCGAGATTGGCGTAGCATAAAACTACCGACATCCCTGCCACCCAAGATGCCGAATATTGTGGCGCTGCTCGAATGACCAAGGTTATCGGTGCTGGCACCCGGTATCTCCGCCGTAAGCGCGCAGTCTTTTTGGTCCAGCAGCGCTCATCTGATGACGATTATGGCGTCGAAGTTCGCTGTCCTTGTATGAGAACAACTGCGAACCACTAGCTGTGATTACGCAAAATTTCCAGCCGATTATTTATTACAATGTCGATCTATGACTGGAAATTATTGGACGTGGCTCGTTCGCAGGGGTACGCATAATAAATTACACTTTTTTATTTCGTGCAATATAGGTAATACTGCCGATGGTACTCGGTTTGACGGCTGCCAGTCCGCAGCTTCAGCCGTACGCTACGGCTCGGTTGATGGACACGTCTCCGCTGGGCTTTGGGACTAACGTGGCGTAGGTTTTGCGTCGTACGGTGTAAAAGCGAGGGATCCTCGGGACGCGTGCTGCGTGTGTGTGTGGTGGCATAGTTCATAAGTCTGAGCTCGTTGTGCGGACTACAGTCTGTTATGTCGGCCACGCCGTGGTGGTGTTCACCTGCGCTCGCTTCTGTCTTGCTATTCATGTTCAGCCAATGATAGATGATGATTAAAGTCGACAGCATACCCACAGGCTAACTTCAGGGAACGACCGCTGTCTCGCGTCTCGTGTAAATCTTTCTAAGCCACCCAATTGGACCCGACGGGCCCATCCGTATGCCAGCTGTGCATAGTTCCCGTGGTTCCGCGGCTGCATATGAGTAGTGTTATGTGGGAGGGTGGCCGTTCCTTGCGCTGACCCCGGCCGTGTTCGACGCTGACCCCGGCTGTGCCTGACGCTGACCCCGGCCGTGTTCGACGCTGACCCCGGCCGTGTTCGACGCTGACCCCGGCCGTGCTCGACGCTGACCCCGGCTGTGTTCGACGCTGACCCCGGCCGTGTTCGATGCTGACCCCGGCCGTGTTCGACGCTGACCCCGGCTGTGCTCGACGCTGACCCCGGCCGTGTTCGACGCTGACCCCGGCCGTGCTCGACGCTGACCCCCGGCCGCGTTCGACGCTGACCCCGGCTGTGCCTGACGCTGACCCCGGCTGTGCCCGACGCTGACCCCGGCCGTGCTCGACGCTGACCCCGGCCGCGTTCGATGCTGACCCCAGCGGTGCCTGACGCTGACCCCGGCCGTGTTCGACGCTGACCCCGGCCGTGCTCGACGCTGACCCCGGCCGTGCTCGACGCTGACCTCGGCTGTGTTCGACGCTGACCCCGGCCGTGTTCGACGCTGACCCCGGCCGTGCTCGACGCTGACCCCGGCCGTGCTCGACGCTGACCTCGGCTGTGTTCGACGCTGACCCCGGCCGTGTTCGACGCTGACCCCGGCCGTGTTCGACGCTGACCCCGGCTGTGCCTGACGCTGACCCCGGCTGTGCCTGACGCTGACCCCGGCCGTGTTCGACGCTGACCTCGGCCGTGTTCGACGCTGACCCCGGCTGTGCCTGACGCTGACCCCGGCTGTGCCTGACGCTGACCCCGGCCGTGTTCGACGCTGACCTCGGCCGTGTTCGACGCTGACCCCGGCTGTGCCTGACGCTGACCCCGTCTGTGCCCGACGCTGACCCCGGCCGTGTTCGACGCTGACCTCGACCGTGTTTGACGCTGACCCCGGCTGTGCCCGACGCTGACCCCGGCCGTGTTCGACGCTGACCCCGGCCGTGCCCGACGCTGACCCCGGCCGTGCGGACGACAGGCGGCCGCTGAGCTCGGTGCACCGGTACCAGTACCGGGCCTCGTTCACCTTCTCCTGGAACATGGAGACGGGTCAGTACAGCATGCTGACCTCGGACCGGCTGACGGAGGTGACGGACGCCCGGGACCTGCAGCCGGCCGGCGGCGGGCCGCGCTGGCAGCCGGCCCGCCTGCTGGCCACCGCTCTGCGGCACCCCAGCCCGCTGCCGCAGACCGCCTATAACACCGTCAGGGTTATGACCAACCAGCCGGCCCTCACCGGTGAGCGAACGCCGGGCGCTGCCCCCACCACTGCGAACACTAGGCTGCGGTCAGGTACCAGAGAGGCTCCAGCTGTGGTGAGGGGTGGGGCGGGGGAGGGGTATTAGAGGGGCTCCAGCTATGGTGAGGGGCGGGGTGGGGGAGGGGTACTAGAGGGGCTCCAGCTATGGTGAGGGATGGGGTGGGGGAGGGGTACTAGAGGGGCTCCAGCTATGGTGGGGGTAGGGTGGGGGAGGGGTACTAGAGGCTTAAGCTGATAGCTTAAGAATGGAGGGAAGTGAGCCTTAATTGAGTGATGTGAGCAGGTGGTGATGGTAGTGCCATGGAGGGAAGTGAGCTTTGATTGAGTAATGTGAGAAGGTGGTGATGGTGGTGCAATGGAGGGAAGTGGGCTTCGATTGAGTGATGTGAGGAGTGGGTGATGGTAATGCAATGGAGGGAAGTGAGCTTTGATTGAGTAATGTAAGAAGGTGGTGATGGTGGTGCAATGGAGGGAAGTGGGCTTTGATTGAGTGATGTGAGGAGTGGGTGATGGTAGTGCAATGGAGGGAAGTGGGCTTTAACTGAATGGCGTTGGGAGGTGGGGATGGTAGTGCAATGGAGGGAAGTGGGCTTTATTGAGTGGTGTGAGTAGGGGATGACGGTAGTGTGGTTTCCTAGTGTGATAGTTTTCCAGTGTGGTACGGCGTGTTATCTGTATCCAAATTCTGGTGCGTGCGCTACAAGCTGTGGTACACTTCACTGTAGGGCTTTAGCATGAGAGCAGTGTCCGTGACTTGCTGTGCGGGACCCCGGATGCAGTGCAGGCGTTGCTGTGGCTGGAATGGCATCCCCTGTGTATGGCGATGTGTTCCCTGCCTCGGCCCGGATTCAGAGTGTGACTGCCGTGTGGTGGGCTTTGCCAGCCTGACGCCTTGGACTGGTGGAGACTGATGAGGTCTTAGATGGTGCTGGTGAGATATGAAGTCAACTATTGATCCTTCACTAATTGCCTTCGCCTCCATTGACGTATGGCTGTTCAGCGGCAGTGACTGTGAATGCCGTGTGGCGACGATGAGGCGGACCGCCGGCTCATCGTCTCGTTAGTATTTGTAGTGTCCAATAGGTAGTTGAATTGTACTTCGGCTTCAAAAGGCATTGGAACCAATTTGCTGATGGTGGGCCACTTTTGTCGAATATATGCCATTGTGAGCCAAAAAAGCTAAGCAGAAGATGTCCGCTTTCCCGCGCGTTGTCATGCCAACGTCTGGGGCCATATTCGGTCGTACCAGCGATGAACAGGCGCCATGGGTGTGCGTTCATCTGACACGACTGTGGTCGGCAGGTACCTCACTGAAGACGATCGTCGACCCGCACAACATGTTGGCCCTGCTTCTGGCGCCGCAGAGGGCGGCCAGTGAGGATCGGTGATTGCGCTCCGGCTTGATCTGGTCTGGTCTGGTCTGGTCTGGTCTGGTCTGGTCTGGTCCGGTCCGGTCCGGTCTGTTCTCTGGTCCGGTCCGGTCTGGTTGGTCTGGTCTGGTCCGATGCAGCCCGGTCCGGTTCAGTCCAGTTCGACCCGATGTGCTCCGGTTCGCCACCGCCCCGCAGCGTCGGCACCCGGCGGCTCGTTCCTTCTCGTTTCGTTCTTCGCTCCATGGGCTGTGACTCATTCGGGGACCCTGCGCGCCGAACAATACTCGTCCGCTCGGTGGGAGCGGTGTGTCCGAGCGTGCCGTGCGGTGGGCACAGCACCGGCAGCGCTGCATGGCACCGGCTGACATGTCCCAGTCGTCTGTCCTCCGCTGCAGCCAGGCCTCTGCTAGCACAGGACCGCTGCTAAGACATCGATGTTTGTCCGAGGTTTCAAGAACGGGTGTGGAAGCGCGTAAAACACGACGTATAACCGTCGTAAACCAGGCGCATGACCGAAAGATCGCAAAATCTCGTACTTGAACCGGACTTACTGGCGATGCCTTGTTTGGAACAATGTCATCAGCGGCTGTGGCGGCTCACGTTTTCTCTGCGCGAATGGTGCAACAGCGGGTCAAGCATTGGGCCAGTGGTGGCGATGGGCACTATTACTCGTTTCTTACCGAATTTCTGCGTGTGTTGGCGATGGCCGCAGGCTCTTACAGCTCCGTATGCTCGGTAAATATGATCGATTCGCTGTCGCGGTCGCCGCGACACTCACGCGTGTTCCAGCGTCAGTATTGCGTGAAATCGCACTGTCGCCGCATTGGCCGACTGCGCTCGCGACTGGTGGTCGTATTTTCAGCAGTGTGATACGCAACAGACGCCGGCCAAGCCGCCAGCGTAGTGCGCCCCGCCGGCTCACAGCCGGTCATGCTGGTCCCGACTGCTCGAGGATGGCGGCTGTCGATGTGACACCAGCTCAGATCTGACCGTGAGGGCGAGATCGAAGCGTTCCTCCGGACGACTGGCCCTCCCCGTGCCCATATTCCGTTATATTTTGTTCTGATGCGGGCGCGCGGCGTGGCAATGAAGCGGCCCGGCCTGTGGCGCTTTCCGGTTGTGTGCTGAGACATTTGGTGACATAGAATGCAGGCTCCGTGTTGTGATTGAGATGTAGAGCCTCGAGAATCGTTTCTTTGTGTTCCTCAGTTTGCCCTCGAGACTGCTCAATTGTCGTTACGGCCGACCGTTTGGCCGTATAGTAGGAAATCGTTGGGTTTGCCGCTCTTGAGTAGGTCAATACACGGATCACCATGTGTGTCAGCCGCAGTGTGCGCCGCATGCCCTGCACCCCGGAGCCGTGGTATTTAGGCCCGGACAGTGGATCCGCGCTGCCAGTTCGGCGGCTCGTGTCTGAGAGGCGACACTAGCCGACAGGGACGTGTCGGGGAGGCGACGCCAGCCGACAGAGACGTGTCGGGGAGGCGACGCCAGGCGAGCGTGACATGGTCGCGGCAGCCAGGACTCCGCTGGCCCAGCAGGTTGACTGAGGGGCGGCAGCGCCGTCGAGGTGCGCTGCTCGATACACTCCCACCTATTTTGGGATGTATATGGTCCACACTCGTCTTCCTGGAGCGTCGCGCTTAAGCATGCTAACGACTCAGAGCCGCCATAAAGCTGATCGAGTCGGCTGAAATCTGGACAGTTACGATGTTACGTCATCCGAGATGTGCGACAGATTCTGGAATTGAATTAACGGCCGGCGGTGGTCACGAAGTCGGGACGGTCGATGTCATGTCTCAGCTGGCGCACCCTGGCGGCCAGAGCCATCTCAGGTCTGCCGCCGCACTCTGGCGCCCGGGCCATCTGCCGTCGTAGTCTGGCGGCCGGGCCATCTGCCGCCGCAGTCTGGTGGCCGCGGCCGGGCCATCTGCCGCCGCCGTCTGGCGGCCCGGCCATCTGACGCCGCAGTCTGGTGGCCGGGCCATCTGCCGCCGCAGTCTGGTGGCCGGGCCATCTGACGCCGCGGTCTGGCGGCCGGGCCATCTGACGCCGCGGTCTGGCGGCCGGGCCATCTGCCGCCGCAGTCTGGTGGCCGCGGCCCGGCCAGCTGCCGCCGCCGTCTGGTGGCCGGGCCATCTGACGCCGCAGTCTGGTGGCCGCGGCCCGGCCAGCTGCCGCCGCCGTCTGGTGGCCGGGCCATCTGCCGCCGCCGTCCGGTGGCCGGGCCATCTGACGCCGCCGTCTGGCGGCCGGGCCATCGCGGACCTGCCGCCGCAGCCTGGCGGCTGGCGCGCCCTAATGGCCGGAGTCAAAGTAGAACTGACGTCGCGGTCAGCGGGGATCTGTGGAATTGGATCGCCGGAATCCGCAGATCGCAGAACGCTGCCATCGATGGAACACGGTGTAACCCAACGTGTCTCACTTTTGATAGTTCATCGACAGTTCCGCTGGAATTCATAACGTGATCACGAGCCGGACAGCAGGCCGGGCGAGTCTTGCCTGCCCGGCCTGCTGTCCGGCCCACCTATCATACCGGCTGGGAGATCCAGCAGTACTCGTACGGAATGGGGCACGCATTTTGTTGCGCACCAATCTTGTGAAATTTGCGGGCGTGGCTAATACGTTTATAAAATGTGTGGTAGATTCTGGTAGAAGTACTGCTGGTCCTTGTTTGGTTGCAATTAGCCCAATCCACAACACTTGCAATTACCAACGCGAAACAACAAGCCTGGCCGCAAACTTTCTTAAAACTTTGTCATGAGTTGAAACGAAAGTCCTGGAAAATGCAAAAGTGGAAGGGAAAATGTGCGTAAAACTGATAAGGGATGGGTGCATGTTACTACGGACACAGGCCAGTGAGTGGGTAGCGGGTGCATTAAGTAACGGAAATTTAACCCATGGAGACTTCTACTTGCTTCAACAGTTGGGCGAATCTCATTGTGAGCGGCTTGGCCTGTCCGTTACGCTTCCGCCGAGATAGCATTTCGGACACTTCGTACTATGCCGGAATTATCTGACCTTCCAAATACCAGCAGATGCTAGCCAACAGTAATTAGATCTCTCCAGCAGTGCCCCTGCTTATGGTCGCGAGTTAACCGCAAGCGTATAAAAAACAGGGTCTTAGCCCAAGTATGTTTACATGCGTGCTTTGCATTATTGGAAGCATTCGATAACCTCTATTTGGCAAAATCATATTTTAACTGTAATTGATTTGGTCCATGTGGACAAAGAAGCGATCGGACCCCTCCCCAGCTGTTCCTGGGTCCCCGACAGTTCACATGCATCACACGACACCCAGTTGTGATCAGTCTTGATGCAACAGATCGCGTGTCTTAAGTTGCTTGAGGGGGCGTAATAGCCGAGGTGTCGGCGTCTTCGGTCCCCGTGTGAGGAGGGAGGGGGGGGGGGGGGTGCGTTGCGCCATGGCCCAAGAGCGCCAACATCGTCACTGCGGTCGCAGTCGCTGGTGCTCCATAAAGGTGCGCGGCGACGTGCGCGGCGTCCTTTCTCAAAGTCATTGTCACGAGGCCGGCCAGGTACACTCAAACAGCCGTGATTGGCACATTCCCCTGAAACAGTTCGTGAGGCCTACCCTGACATGCTCCCCAGACAGTTCTGGGATCGTCTCAGTACAGTGCGGGGCTCGGCTCGTGGCAAGTCACGTTAGATTTATGTCTGGAGAAAGGGACCGAGCCTCAGAACAGAAAACTAAAACAGCTTTAAATGCAAAATAGGGCATGTGACAGCAGTACAGCATGCATGACCCGCAGACAAGTGCAACATGTTTAAAGCACAATAGGAACCAGTAAAGGTAAGAGTGGTGAGTCGTATCCTTCAACAGAACAGGGACAGAACCGTGAAAATCTATGAGCATTTTCCGCATCGAGATGTTTGTGCGATCAATGACTGTAAATGATGTGATACAGTCGTGCAAACGTTATGCGTCTGCAGGAGTTGTGCAGTTACGGGGCGCTTCCGTGCAGTCAACCTACGGCATTTGATGGCTCTAAGGGCATACACGGCTTAGATGAATAGACGTGTATTGTGGCTATCAGGTTCAACATGTACATAACGACGTCCGACGCGGTGGGTCGTGTGTCAAGCGACGCCTGCACTCGCGGCATTGGCCGGATGTGGCTGCGCTGATCCCGAGACGGCGCATGACTTTGACAAGGTGGTTACAGGCACGGAGAAACTCACACAGATAACACATTTAACGACCGGTTCCCGGGAGGTTCTTTCACTCGCAGCCTTCCAGGTAACATGTATGGACGCAAATTCCAGTGGCCACGTAGGTGGCCACTGGCCAGTAGTGCTGTCTACGGGTTTTCGCTCTGTGACTAGTTTCTTTGATCCCCAAATGGAGGGGGTGGCTGCCAAATTATCGGTTTGTGCGCAGGTAAGACTTGCGCGTCTGGCGATGCGATTGTTGGGGACATCGCGCCGTACAATGTTTCCTCTCCCCGTGACATGACAATGGGAACGCCCCAGCCGTCTGTGCGCATCGGGGCAGTGGAGCGTGCTGGTGGTCCGCAGCAGGCGAGGAATGCCGCTATCCAGCTGATTGCGGACTAGCTAAAAGCATTGACATCTGTTAGCGTTGGCGTTGATTTGTCAGCTTTGTGTGCAAATGAAATGCATTTAAATTACATGCAGTTACTTTGAAAAAGGAAAGTACGTTGACCCAAACCTGAATGGATGATTGCTTGGTGAGGCATGGCGTGGCGAGTCCGTGCCTCTCGTGCGCTGACGGTCTGTCTGTGGTGTGGCGTGTCTCGACAACGTGCCATAACTAGTGCCGACTGAGCGGGCGCGGTCGTAGGGATCCTCCAGCGGCCACCACCTGTACTCCGCCAGCGGCCACCACCTGTACTCCGCCAGCGGCCACCACCTGTGCGGTGCACTCAGCTGCAGAGGCTACATGGCGTCGCCCGCCGCTCGCCCTGATAATGTGTGAGGGCCGGGCACTGCGGGGGATCGAACCGCGTGTCCCTGTTCTCTGAGACACGCAGCCTAACCGCTACGCTACCGGCACTCTTCTCTCCAGCAACCATAACGGCGAGCTACTCCGTATTAAAGCAACAAAAACAACCTATGCCATGAGGAGCTTATAAGCTTCCGTTTGATCTGACATTGAGTGACGTCCTCTAAAGAATAGAATGCATGGCTAGACTTGTCATGCAGCACGTTTCCAAGCGGCGGAGGGCGTTCTCCGAACAGACGGTGTGTTCGAATGTCTTCGTTGACTTCACGAGAAGTACGCGTGGGAAGAAACATACGCGGTGTACAGCACATATAGCCGGTAGGCGAAGCTGTCCTTGTCCCCCTCCAGCACATATACCAAAAGTCCATATAGTTGGCGGACAGCTCTCGTCATTCACACCTGCCCGAGTCCTGTCCTCCATCCGGCTCGGAGAGCTTCGACGGCATTCCATGACGAGACACGACTCCTCGGCGTGGCCGAAAGGCTCGGCCGCCGGCCGCGAGCTTCATGCCGCGCTCACGAGATGGCGCAGAGCCTGGTCTCGCGGTCGTAGCGCCGGATGCTGCGACCGAAGCGTCGCGCGCGGGTCGGGGGTGCCACCGCCGGCCCCACGCCGACCGGCTCTGAGCAGCGGCGGCCGAGGGCAGCGTCTCTGCCGACCTCGGCGTCGTCCCTGGGGCGGCCGATGCTGGAGAGTGTCGGCGACGCCAGCTGGCCGCTGCTCCAGTGCATTCTCTGCAACAGCGGCGGCGCGTCACCCGGCCTGAGGCGTCACCGATCACGCTGTACAGCCATATATGACAATACATTCCGGTGTTAGTTGAAAACTGCAGTAGCATCTCAGCATAAAACAAATTGTCATTCCATTTAATCGGACGCAATTGACTCCATGGCGAATATAAAGCGTTTGTAAACGTTGAAAAACGGCGCTCCTAGGCCCTTTGCAAGGGTTTGGAAAATATTCCTTTGCTGATAATTTTGACATCAAGAAATGCACGTGTGTTTATGAAAAAAGGATGTCTCTCTGTCTATAGTTGGCACTGTGATATGACGGAATTTTTGCTTACCGGAGATATTTGTCGCGAGGTGGCAATAGCAATACTGCTCATCTCAACGATATGCCCGTTATGGTAGCCCATAAACGTAGCCCAACGCCTTTGTGAGCTTTCAAAGGTGTTTTGGCATGTGCATGTAGGATAGGTTGAACAACTTTTTTTGCAAAACGTTCGTAGGCTTACCGACGTTTACTACGTCAAATGGCTCCAGCGCAAAATGACCATTGCGGTCGAAGCGCCCCTAAAAGCAAACCTCATCCCGTCACATGACCAGAGTGAGATGCATGTATCGTTTTTAAGGCCTTGAGCTGAATGACATGCATGCTGACATCTGTGGCGAGAAAGTGTTTTGCTTATCTGGAAGGTGAATATTGCGCCCAATCATGTCATCCTTCTCTCAATACCGAACCAACGATATCAGTTATTGTCAGGAATAGCCTCTGGCGCTCGGGCCAGACCGCTGCCCACCCCGCACCTCCACCCCGTCGGGATGGTCCACCCCCCACTCACACTCCCCCGGGCCAGCCCACTGCCCACCCCGCACCCTCACCCCCCCCCCCCCCCCCCCCCCCCACCCCGTCGGGATGGTCCACCCCCCACTCACACTCCCCCGGGCCAGCCCACTGCCCACCCCGCACCCTCACCCCCCCCCCCCCACCTCGTCGGGATGGTCCACCCCCCACTCACACTCCCCCGGGCCAGCCCACTGCCCACCCCGCACCCTCACCCCCCCCCCCCCCCCCACCCCCGTCGGGATGGTCCACCCCCCACTCACACTCCCCCGGGCCAGCCCACTGCCCACCCCGCACCCTCACCCCCCCCCCCCCCCACCCCGTCGGGATGGTCCACTCCCCACTCACACTCCCTCGGGCCAGCCCACTGCCCACCCCCGCACCCTCACCCCCCCCCCCCCCCCCACCCCGTCGGGATGGTCCACCCCCCACTCACACTCCCTCGGGTTAACCCACTGCCCACCCCGCACCTCACCCCGTCGGGATGGTCCACCCCCCACTCACACTCCCTCGAGCCAGCCCACTGCCCACCCCGCACCCTCACCCCCCCCCCCCCCACCCCGTCGGGATGGTCCACTCCCCACTCACGCTCCCTCGGGTTAGCCCACTGCCTACCCCGCACCCCCACCCCGTCGGGATGGTCCACTCCTCACTCACACTCCCTCGGGCCAGTTCTGGATGCGCCGCATCAGCCGCCGCCTGCGACGCATGAGAACCGTTGTGTCCTCATTGGCTGGCTGCTCATTGCGCTTTTTGTCACTCTCTTAATTTCCGGAGTGCGCTAAGACGGTCGAGTGTTTATAGTGCGCAAAGACGGTCGAGTGTTTATAGTGCGCTAAGACGGTCGAGTGTTTATAGTGCGCTAAGACGGTCGAGTGTTTATAGTGCGCTAAGACGGTCGAGTGTTTATAGACCGCCCACGGCGGCTGCGTTAAGGCATACACTTTTTGCACGCCCTCTTTCTAGCGGCAGCCTTGACACAATATGGTGGAGCGTTTCGGACGCAAGTGACAGTCATTCTTCTCGAAGAGGCACTCGAACAGCCGCTGTCTGCACGGCACCAGGTAACTGGCAAGTGGATGGCGAGTAGGCCGCGCCAGTCCCCTCCCCCCCCCCCCCCCCAACATCCGACTTATGGGCGGCATTTTCACGCGACAATACGGCTTTGCCTCGCGGAGCAAGAAGACAGCGCTCCGCACCCTTCTGTGTGCGTACGGATATTCCTTTTTAGTACAAAGATATCCAAGGTGTGATGAGAATGTGATCTGATTATGAGGACAATGATCTGCAAGATGTGATGCAATTGCGACATCCACCAGTTCCGTCCTGGCACTGGACCTCGCCAAATGCTGACATTTCGCTGGCTCGGGTCAAGACATGTGATGAATGTCCTCAGTGAGGCCGGTCCACATCCCTGGAGCGCAGGGTATGTTCTGAAGGACACGTGTTCACGTATGACGGAGTGGGATGCTTGTTTGAGAGCATCTTCGCCACTCCGTCATAACAGCTCGTTTTAACGTCACACAGGAGTCGGAACACTGGCAGCCCTACTTTCGGCGGGCTCGGCTAGGAAAAATCATGCTTAGTGGACTGCGCATTGGTCACACCCGTGCGTCTCACGGGCACACCCGTGTGGCAAGCAGCGGCACCCGTGTTCTCGCTGTGGTGCTCCACTAACCGTACGTCACGTAATCAGCTCGTGACCGCATTTCAACGAGAGTCTGCGCCATTTTGGAAGGCGCGCTTCAGCTCTTCGATGTCGCGACGTTCTACGAGACGACACCTGACACGGACAAACCATTTGCTTTCCTGAGAGCTATGTTTTTTTAGCCATATGCAGTTCGGCTAGGGAGGAAACACTTTTGTTATGGGCGTCGAATGACCGCTGATGTCGAGCGTGCCCCCGACTCAATTATCATCATCGCATCATGACGCAGTATAGCGTGCACCGCAAAAAGCCGTAATTTTTCTCCTCGGTGCTCCAGTCGAGTTAGTGCGAGAAAACAAGCTGCCTACTTGGAGAGAGTGCTGCAGCGATATTTTCAGCCTCAGCGAGCGGATACGCTGATCAAGAGACGAAAATACGGTTTGGAGTCAAGCTAATGAGGATGTGGAACAAAACCCGCATTCGCATCACGCCGGAGCAAAGCGTAATAACGAGTCCAGAAAGACAGCTTGAAAACCACAGAGCTGTCCTCGAAACAAGCGCAGGAGATCCGCCCAGCCAATGAAGAAGCAGGAGTTTAGGTGCGGCACCGACAACCTCCTTGATATTACCCAAATTAAGATCATGAATATCACCAACATCGACAACGACAAAGTGTCCCCAGGGCCCAAATGTGAGCCAAGCCACTAAGACTGGCTGGTGGAAACCAACACCTTTCTGGGAAAATAGAGTAATTTTGTATTCACCACCGAGCGCTGCAGAAAAGGTCCGCCGTCAGGCTGAAAACCAAGCCAAACAGGCGGCAGCCGCCCAACTGAACAAAGGGGGGGGGGGGGGGGCTGAAGACCGGGCCAAACAGGCGGCAGCCGCCCAACTGAACAAAGGGAGGCTGAAAACCAAGTCGAACAGGCGGCAGCCGCCCAACTGAACAAAGGGGGGGGGGGGGCTGAAAACCGGGCCAAACAGGCCGCAGCCGCCCAACCGAACAAAAGGAGGCAACTGCCCGGCTGCAAGGGGACAGCTGTTCGATTACACTTCTGGTGTATTTACCGACAACTGGTGGAATGCGCATGACATTCTCCTTAGCACGTTATAGAACTATGTAATTTCTCATGCACAAGCAAGGTTCGACGTTTGAGATATAGCTGTAATGGAGATATCCGAGCAACTATATTTTTGAATGATATACTAAGGGCTTTGTGTGGTTCATCAGGATACCTAAGATTATTCCAAACCTGCCATTTGGGATATTTTTAAGCTCAGGAAGTTCGTTAAAAATGTTCGCACTAAATGCGCATGTGTGAGCATTCATATTTTCGGACACCGGCGCGGCGCATAGACAATATGTTGGGCATAGGTGCCTCAAGAATTAGTACCGTGCCTCACACAATAAGCAGCTGGGTAGGCCAACACATTTCAGGATTTTACTGTCTGTTCTTTTTCATCTAAAATTTCAGGTCCACAGCAGTTATGTGCAATCTTGCATTGATAAGCCGAGCATATCTTCTTCCAAAGAATGACGTTTACAGAGGCCAGTTTTGTCGATACTGAGTTAATCCTGAATCGAACAAACGGGGGGCACCGACAAATAGTGCCTAGTTAGCACTACTTTTGTGTCATTCTGTGCATGCCCAAGCCAAAAAATTCAGAAAAGTCCATCCCCAATGCCTCAACTTCAATTCGAAAATAATCATATAGAACCAAATGTGTTCTACGAGCGCTTTTCCTGAAATCCAACCACATGTTCGGCTGTTTTTGCACATTTCCTCGGCTTAGAGACATCTCAGATAGTTCATATGGTATAATTCAAGGTCGTTGGTGTCATGATGTCCTAAGTCCTAAGTTAATTCCAAGAGGTCAGTCCTGTCAGTCCAGAGTCAGAGGCCCGTTTACTGAACACCAGTTATCACATCGGCTCCCTAAATAAAACACAATCGCCTGTTTCGTTGCAAGAGCTAGACGTCAATTTTACTCCACGAGCGCTTTCCGTGTAATGTTGCAAATGCTTCATTACAGCGAAAAGGGCGTTATAAAAGTTTTGGTTTGGTAATGGGTGACTCATAACTGACCAGACTCATTTTCTGCACTTTATTAGTGCAGAAAATGCGTCTCTATTTTAGTGTGTGTGTGTGTGTGTGTGTGTCTATTGTCTCTATCCTAGTGTCTCTATTTTACATGCATTACGCACATTGAATGCAACACCCACACCATCGACGTAATTGGCTTGCTCAGAATCAGGAATGCTCATAGTTGACACGATACGGTCCAGTTACGGAAATAAACAGGCAATCGAAGACCAGCGAAAAAGCAAACGGTGGTACGCCGGCATCAACACATATCGCGCTCTCTCAAGCGCTGGACATTGATCTCACGCACCGTAGTCGCCTATTTCAGAACAGAGCTCAGCTGTGGCCTGACCCCGGCACACGGACGCACTGGTATGCCATTTTCGTCACTGCGGCTTGCTCCTAGGCGCATCCACGTGCAACGTTCATGAATGAGCCACGTGCAGTGGTTTGAAACAACCCTCGTTAACTAATGATTTTGAAACTATGCTACTACAAATTTGAGCTTCTTTCTCCGAAGTGATTAGCGGAGACATTTGTCGCAAAACGGCCGCAAGGTGACAGCGCCTCTTCACCCGGGGTCCGGACGGATGGCGTGGTCCGCAAGGTGACAGCGCCTCTTCACCCGGGGTCCGGACGGATGGCATGGTCCGCAAGGTGACAGCGCCTCTTCACCCGGGGTCCGGACGGATGGCTTGGTCTGAACCCGTGTACGCGCGGCTGGTGGCGGCCTTACAATCTCACCACCGTAGGCAACGCTCATTTTGACATGCAGCTTGTCTTGCTCGACGCATGAGTTTAATTTTACGTATAAGCGAGCACAGGGGGTGCACCCAGAAAGCAAGGGGAAAACCTCTTGGGAGACTTTCTGCCTAGCTATCTGTAGGCCGCACATTTGAACCTTACCTTGACATCCAGGCCTTGATTCGTGACTTCTGGATGGTTTGGTGACTCCTGGGCCTTGCCTTGAAGTGTAATGCGATCAACTGAGACTGAAACAGATAAAGGAGGATAAACAGACAATTAATGCACCGTGTTTCTACGTCTGCGTGCGAATGCACGCAATCCCGAAGTGGATATTACAAGAGATGCGGCTGGAGTCATGTCCGAACACAGAGGCTTAAGTGGGTTACGTTCTTTGTACACAGAAGTCATAAACTCAGCCCAGGTATCATTGTTTGTTTTGAACATAAATGCATTTGCAAATAATAAGAGAAATATAAGCATCTTCCGGTCACCATCACGAAAAGTCAAAACACGCCTTGAAGGATCTCTCAGAATGACACATCACGGGGATGGCACATCCCCAAAATTGATGACACAATGACACATCCCTTACCCGCCCCGGGTAAGGTGAAATCTGCGCTTGCTATCCGAGCAGTAGCATCGGTATAATGGTCTTTCAAACGCAGTGCCACGGCTACTTTACATAAAGCAGTTAGGAGTCAAGTCAGGCCAACGACCGAAACTCACGGAGCCAGCAATGCCGAACACAACGCCGGATACCTGAGGCTTTAGATGACTGGCGAGAGGAAAACGCTCGACAGTTCGTGAGACAATGCATCTACGGTCCCCTGTGATAATGACAATATTGCTGAGGAATGGAGTCAAATGAAATCAGATTGGAGACTAGCCGAATGCGGATTAAATGCAAAGTAAATTGGGCAAACCAGTGACGCTGACGCGCTGGCAACTCACTCCCATAAAGCGCCAAGTTTGCCGGATGTCCAGGCACACGGCCGAAGTGACAAGCCTGAGGAGTGTGCTGCCGTCGGCCTTGTCTCTGTGCGCTAGACTCCTTCCGCGAATGTTGGCGGCAGCTCTCGGCTGGCAGGCAATAACGTGGCGGGATATGGTCCAAGACCGAACTGAGCGAGAGGCGCGCTCGATGACAGGCCATGTTCTATGGATGACATCAGAAATAGGCACTGCTCGGCTGAGACTTCACTCCATTTGAGAGTGGTTCTGTAGTCGATCGGCGATGCAGTCGGTCAGCCGACGGCCGTGGGGACGGACACGGACTTTTCCAGACTAACGCTAGTTGACATAGCTACCGTCCGCTTTTATCGGCTTTTAGTTTATTTGGCATCCTTTTCTCTCGTGAGCAGATGAATCAAAACCTGTCCGTTGCGAACTGTAAGGTATGATACCATTTCAGGTAAATCAGGAGTAGGACAAATTTTGGCATCCCTCCGCCGCACATAATAAATAACCCCGCATTCGTAACCCCTTTTGCAATACAGACGTGCCGGCATTCTTTTAGCAGACAGTGCTGGTAACTGATGCATTCTTGGACTGCACATCCCATTGTGCTCCTTTGCGTCTTCAAAATGAGTAGAATTGGTGTGGAAAAAACGAGCAGGTATTTAAGGGAGCACCGACGGGGCTGACATCAGGCGGTCACGAGTCGCGGCAAGTGACTTATTTGTCCGACTTTTGCAAACATGTCAACTGAGCTGTGGCCATAGAGGGGCGACTGGCAATGTCGTAGTCTTACACGGTACCAAAAGCATCCCTCCGCGTTCCTTCCGGCCAAGCCAACCGAAGTCAATGTAACCCGCTGGATTGTCGTGGCGCAACTTGTTTTCTGGGTTCAGTACATTCAGCAAGCTCCGCTTGGCGTGCCATCTTAGCTCAAAGTCGCCTATGCTGGTACAAACTCTTTGGGTGCAAAACAACCCTCCGCTGTCACAGCAACAACCCCCGCTGTGTCATGACACCAGCCCCCGCTGTGCCATGGCACCAGCCCCCGCCGTGCCATGGCATCAGCCCCAGCTATGTCATGGCACCAGCTCCCGCTGTGTCATGGCACCAGCCCCCGCCGTGCCACGGCACCAGCCCCAGCTGATTCCATGGCACCAGCCCCCGCTGTGCCACGGAACCAGCACCCGCTGATGCCATGGCACCAGCCCCAGTTGTGTCACTGACACCAGCTCTACCTGTGTCATGGCACCAGCCCCCGCTGTGCCATGGTACCATCTCCAGCTGTGTCATGACACCAGCTCCGGGGTGTCATGACACAGCTGGAGAGATAGGTTTTGATTATGACACCAGCTCCAGCTGTGTCATGGCACCAGCCCCGCTGTGTCATGGCACCAGCCCCCGCTGTGTCATGGCACCAGCCCCCGCTGTGTCATGGCACCAGCGCTCAGGCACCAGCCGACTGCGGGCTCGGCCCTTCCCAGAGTATGTCGTCCGGCGTACGTGTGGTCGGCCACCTACTGTCATGAGATGTTTCCACCGGTTCTTCGATGGAGTCGCGGTCGATCCAGGTCAGCCCCATGTCGACCTGATCGGCCAGGTGTTGCCAATGCTGCAGGTTCCGCAGGCAGCCCTCGTACATGGGCCGCATCCAGGGGAACGCCTCGGAGAGCGCCTGCCGACGGCGTCAGGGGACTATACCACACAGCAGCGCACTACAAGTACATAATGCATCGGGAGAATTTGTCGTTTAGCGAGGATTATCACCGCAGCGATCGCGCTCTGTCACAGTCTGATTATCACCGCAGCGATCGGGCTCTGTCGCAGCTGGAGGAAGAGAAGTAGCGAGCTTGCATATATGATATCGCAATCTTGGTAACAATGCCTTATATTTCGATGTAATGTGACCTTGCTGTTACGGAGAACAGGTACGCAATGATCTGATACTGACTTCCTAAGAAAATTGAGTCCATGCATCCCCAAACACTGCAGTCGCATCGTGGAAATGGTTACGCGCCGACCGAGATGTGCCATCGATCGCAGCGAGCTGCCCGCTTTGGCGGCGCCCGGAGTGTTATCTAAATCATAGGAGAGCGAGACGGGCGCGAGATCGATGGCTGGAGATCGCCAGCCGCGCTGTCGGGCCGCCGCTCGAGATTGGCCCGCTCTGGCGGCTCGTGCCGTCCGGAGCTCCGCGGCCGCCTCAGACCCGAGTGATACGTCACGCTTATGGGACAGGCGCGCGACACCTGTCAGTCAGAGCGCACCACCGAGGCTCCGAGCGCTGCCCAGTCCAGCTGCCCAAATGCACCGGTGGCATAAAAAGCACAACATGATGCTCCGTTTTCGACATCAGCCGCTTGACGACAAACCAGGCGCCTCATCAACCCAGCCCCACCACGACAAAGACAATCGATTTGTCCGATGATAATTCAAACTTCATTTGAGCATCTTGGGAGCTAAGCTTACAGAAACAAAGGGTTTGTCATATTGCCGCACTTCTACACTGTCACTGACGGTGCGGGCGGGCAGACAAATGCAGCATCTGTGGGCGCCGCTGTATATGGCCGCTGTATATCACTGGTTTCCCATCAGATGTGCGGCACCTGACCTAAGGGAAGCGTGATTTTCGACTCAACTCCACGCATGTTTGGTGTATACAGTACAAGCCTTAAACTCCTGCTTTTACGGAATTTTAGATCCGGTGTTCTTGTAGATATTTTTGTCAATGTCAACGCCGTCTCCCTGTGGCTACGCGCTGGTTAAGGTTACGCCGGCTTAAACCCACCTTCCCCTGAAAAAGGAACGCCGCCTCGGCCCCTTGCTGGGTTAGAGATGTGTAAAACAAGCAACGGGCGTGTTCCTTGCCATGCTAAGAGGTCTCTGGTGTTCAGCTTTAAGAGCTTGATTTGTATTTACCTAAGTTTACATGATTTCCGCCCTCACCGGAGGGTACCGTTACGCTGCTGGAAGCGTCCCCTCCCTCCCTAGTTACGCTTCCGTCACGCCGCTCCATTACAGGACTTTTCTCCCACTCGACGAATATCGTAATTTACGGACGGCCCCTAGTCAGCCAAACATTGGTTATATTGGCAAAGCAAGAGACTTCGACGCTGTGCTCATGGTCACGAGCGCAACTTCCAAACGTCGAGCTTTGTCAAGAAAGTGAACGCTCTCTTGGTAATGCCGTTTAACCAGTGGCTCTGGGCATACCGAAGTTCGGTTATGCTCAGAACAAGAGCTCCCAACCCTTCCCACTTTCGAATGCATGATGGCTCATCTCATCGAGCACACGTACCTTGTATAGAGGTATACAAATCAAGTTGATAAACTCCATTTGCATTTTGGGCAGTTCGTCCCTTCGCTCCCGGTCCATCATGGCCTGTAACGTTAGGTCCTTGTCAGAGAGCAGTTCATCACCCTTGGGATCGTGCCAGCTACGTCCACACAGCGCAATGATGCTGAAGCGTCGTACGTACATTGGATTTCGACCTCCTGACTGACCGGGCAGGTCAGGAAGGTCGGTCGCATGCGTGCATGTACATACCTGCGTGCGCCCAACAGACATACCCGGCTTGATAAACGCGATGCGGTGTTCTTGCTGCACAGACGCAAATAAACGCGGCACATCAGACGACTAACCACATCCAGTGCCATCTTCAGATACCACGTAGTGTTAAATTCGTGCATTTTTGTAGATCAATCGCATCTTTAAAAAAATCCTGCATAAAATGCACATATTTAGTGCATGCTACATACTACATTTAGAGCTATTTTCAGTGATAGCAATAGGTTGTTGAGCATCATGGCTTGAAATTTTACACAGCCCTAGGGTTGATTACGAATCAAACAACAGCATGCAGTCGTTTTCCAAGTCTTGCTTTCCTTGGGAATCGGTTGGAAAAGGATTACAAGTACCAGTTTACAACTTTCCCATCGTAGTTTAAGATCACATTGCGCACGGAGGGCAAGATAAGTACCCCTGTGCACCAGGCACTGCCATTGTGAGCCTGGTGCGTTAAACAACGGTAACCTATGAGCAGAGAGACAACAGGTATTCGAAAGCAGAGTGCACCAGCTCCCTCCCGGCGTTTCGGTAGCAAACGTTTTGTGACCGCTGTCAGCTGTGGTTTGGGTCTTCCTCGGCGGTGTTCACTCGCCTCAGGACACCCCTGCTCGAACTCCACACAGCTTGGCGTCGCACCAGCCTGTTGATCGCGTGTTACAAGTGTCGTGAAGTGATCCATAGCAGCCAGTGTAAACTCATCTCGAAGAGACAGGAGAAGTTCGATGACGCCTCATTGGCTGCGACGATGTCGTGGTGTCTGTCTCGACACAGCGTGTTTGAGGCGCGTTCGGGCGACTCCAGGGGCTGTCAGCGAGGGCCTGATTTGCCGCCGTTGGCATGAGCCGTGGTGCTTCGCATGCATCACTGCACGCAGTCTCAGGCAGACACGACTGAACGGCCAGGCGGCCGTGACTGATGGGAAACTAGCCTGCCGCGTCACGCTGTAACGCCTCCAACTCTCTCCCGCATTTTCCGCGTTTTCTTCCCGCATGCTATCAGTTCATTACCCGGCAACTCAATGACCACAATTTTTTTCAACATCACAATTTTAAGATGGTGCATGCAAAACCTTCTCACGTACAACACCTTCTTCAAAACTTTCTTTCCTTACAGCACTTCGATGCCTACTGGTCGGGAACAAATTGAAGATGAGAATCAGAACTTAAGCTCATTTTAACTCGCGGAAAGCATAATCCAGAATTTAGAGCCCAGCCTCAGTTCATCAGTCACGCCCAAAGCCTTGCAAAGTTTGATGACGAGTGAGACCGCGCCCCAAACAGGTTTTTCAACATTGATGTCAGATCTCAACAGCCAGAGCAAATACAGACGAGCAAGCAGCTACGCTGGAGGCGAATGTGCCGGCTGCAAATTGCTAACATTGGAGTGGAGCGAACGCGAGGCACCTTCCAGCCACGTCACCTTCTTGAAGCCCTCGCTCGCGTGCTTTGTTCAAGCTGTGCCATCAAGCGTGACTGGACCCGTGCCAATACAGAAAGCGACCACGTTATGAAGAAGGTGAAAAGCGAAGAGAGTAATTTAACAAAGAAGGCGACCGCGTGACCTGCAGTCGCCTTCTTCTCCCCTCATCTTACAGAGCTGGCCGTCTGCTAGGCCATCTGCAGTCGCTTTCTTCTCCCCTCATCCTACAAAGCTGGCCGTCTGCTAGGCCATCTCCAGACAAAAGGGACAAAAATTAGATAAGAAGACAAACGTAAACATTAAATCGATTGGCAAACTGCAGCATCATTCAGCCCATGATGCCACAGAGAGTTTGTCCTGCGAACTGTCCTTGCTGGCTGAATGATATTGGGCGTGGTAGGAGGTTTTTGCCTGCCCTGCTCGTCAATAGTCTCCCGTCGGGTGGCAAAGTGAAGCATCGTAAAAATAGCTGAGCACGACCCAGACTAATGTACCTGACAGAACCTGATCGCACCTGGCGACCCAACTGAAGGTAAGCATAGCTCATCGCTGCCTTAAACGCCGCAAAAATAACCAATATAGCCCCAGAAACGTGGACAAATTGCCCACTGTCGCCCATCTACCTCGCCGCTGATCGGCTTAGGTTTCCCGTGACGTCCGACTCCACTAGAGTAAGCCATGACGCGACCCCGAGCTGGTCTGCTGCTGGTGATGTCCCTCGGCCCCAGCCGGGCGAGAGGCGTCCGCCGGACTCACACTGGTGATGTCCCTCGGCCCCAGCCGGGCGAGAGGCGCCCGCCGGGCTCACGCTGGTGATGTCCCTCGCCCCAGCCGGGCGAGAGGCGTCCGCCGGACTCACACTGGTGATGTCCCTCGGCCCCAGCCGGGCGAGAGGCGCCCGCCGGACTCACGCTGGTGATGTCCCTCGGCCCCAGCCGGGCGAGAGGCGCCCGCCGGGCTCACGCTGGTGATGTCCCTCGCCCCAGCCGGGCGAGAGGCGCCCGCCGGACTCACACTGGTGATGTCCCTCGGCCCCAGCCGGGCGAGAGACGCCCGCCGGGCTCACGCTGGTGATGTCCCTCGCCCCAGCCGGGCGAGAGGCGCCCGCCGGACTCACACTGGTGATGTCCCTCGCCCCAGCCGGGCGAGAGGCGCCCGCTAGTCTGCCGTTGGTGGTGTCCCTCGGCCCCAGCCGGGCGAGAGGCGCGCGCCGGACTCACGCTGGGCTGCTCGTTCAGCTTGGTCCGCTCCAGGTCGCCCTGATAGAAGAACTCGTCGGCCACCTGCTTGGCCACCCGATGCTGAATCTCCCACGGCTTGGCGATGGCGCTAACGTCACAGGCCGTCATCAGCATTCCCATGAGAACTGAAACACATGCCCAGCAGCGGTCACACACACACACACACACACACACACACACACACACACACACACACACACACACACACACACACACACACACACACACACACACACACACACACACACACACACACACACACACACACACACACACACACACACACACACACACGGCGCCATCAGTGCGTGGATGCAAACGTACCCCCCCCCCCTACGTACGCAAGCGTAGGGGGTGCTGAACAGTGAAAAATGACGACACCTTTCCCCAAAATACACCGATAAACGGCTCTTTCTCAACAGGCTAAGCTCGCTTCCCCTCAGAGTTAAGAATATTGGAGCTCAAGTTAGAGGGCGGAAGGAACCTGGAAACTTTCTGCCCCGCAACTAAAAGGAGACCACACCCCTGAGGCCATCTTAACGCATCGCTGGTGACTGACGCTTGGTGTCTGCCGGGCCAAACCCTCAGACTGAGCATGAACGGGTGTCACACCACCTCGGCACCCACTTTTTTCTTGGCCTCGTCGTGCCACTCGACCTCGCCGTCCTGCACGACGCGCTCGAAGCGGTCTCTGTTCCTGAAGTACTGGTCAAGATCGGTGGACAGGATCGCCTCCTGCACTGTGTCCATCACGCAGCGGTAGTCCTCGGGAGTCAGTGCCTGGAGGAAGGACAGCAGGTCAGAGAGACACAACCTGGCGGACAGACAGCCGGTCAGAGAGACACAACCTCTCGGACAGACAGCCGGTCAGAGAGACACAACCTGGCGGACAGACAGCCGGTCAGAGAGACACAACCTGATGGACAGACAGCCGGTCAGAGAGACACAACCTGGCGGACAGACAGTCGGTCAGAGAGACACAACCTGATGGACAGATAGCCGGTCAGAGAGACGCAACCTGGCGGACAGACAGTCGGTCAGAGAGACACAACCTGATGGACAGATAGCCGGCTAGAATGGCACAACCTGGAGGGCAGATAGCTGGTCAGGAGAAGCACTAACTGGAGGTCAGATGCCGGCCAGTGAAACGTCACCCGCCGGACAGGCGGTTGATCAGGGGACATCGCCTGGCAGTCACACAGCCCTGTCAGTATCAGAATTCCAGCTTTCTTGCGCGCGATTGCAGCTAAATTTCCCCTCACTAGCTTTCGCACATGATGGCTTTCAGAAATGTCATGAGAACGCTATCTAACATAGAATTACAGCTGCACTGCATTTTCTTTGATGTCGTGAGGCGCGCCATCTCAAGCTACTCAAAACATGTGACAACCGATCTCCATAATGAGCAAATGCATGATGGAAAAACATGACTGAACGTGAACAAGTCAATCGATGCCTGTACATGCATGTATCAAGCACACACAGTACACGAATGACGAAAGTGGCGCTTACGCCGGCTTTTGTGAATCAAGAACTGATTCCTCGCCCACATTTGCACACCCGAAGCCGCACAACACACACACACACACACACACACACACACACACACACACACACACACACACACACACACACACACACACACACACACCACACACACACACACACACACACACACACACACACACACACACACGCACACACACACACACACACACACATACACACACACACACATACACACACATACACACACACACATACACACACACACACACATACACACACACACACACACACACACACACACACACACACACACACACACACACACACACACGTAGTTACACGCGTACGCACCACAAACACTAACGCTCGCGCGCACTCCCTCACACGCGCACGCACGCGGCCTCAAAGCAGTCGTGAAACTTGAAAAAAAGAAGACCCGAGGCGTGAGATAGTGCCTCGTAGAGACGTTAAATTTAGGACATGAGAGCTCAGATAATATTATATTGCATGCTCATGTTTTGTATTGCGAGAGCAGGATCCTCTGTCCACTGCTGTGTCCCCAAAGAGCAGGATCCTCTATTCACTGCTGTGTCTCCGAAGAGCAGTGTCCTCTATCCACTGCTGTGTCTCCGAAGAGCAGCGTCCTCTGTCCACTGCTGTGTCTTGGAGAGCAGCGTCCTCTGTCCACTGCTGTCTCTCCGAAGAGCAGGATCCTGCGTTCACTGCTGTGTCTTGGAGAGCAGCGTTCTCTGTTCACTGCTGTGTTTCCAAAGAGCAGGATCCTCTATTCACTGCTGTGTCTCAGAAGAGCAGTGTCCTCTATCCACTGCTGTGTCTCCGAAGAGCAGCGTCCTCTGTCCACTGCTGTGTCTTGGAGAGCAGCGTCCTCTGTCCACTGCTGTGTCTTGGAGAGCAGCGTCCTCTATCCACTGCTGTGTCTCCGAAGAGCAATCCTTGTTCACTGCTGTGTCTCCGAAGAGCAGCGTCATTTGTTCACTGCTGTGTCTTGGAGAGCAGCGTCCTCTGTCCAATGCTGTGTCTCCGAAGAGCAGGATCCTGCGTTCACTGCTGTGTCTTGGAGATCAGGATTCTCTGTCCACTGCTGTGTCTTGAAGAGCAGCGTCCTCTGTTCACTGCTGTGTCTTGGAGAGCAGCGTCCTCTGTCCACTGCTGTGTCCTGGAGAGCAGCGTCCTCTATCCACTGCTGTGTTTTGGAGAGCAGCGACCTCCGTCCACTGCTGTGTCTTGGAGAGCAGCCTGCAATGTGCACAGCGCGTGGCTGCGTGCTTGTGTTTTTCTCGAATAAGGATGCTAAGAACTGAAGAAGTATGCACTGGTGAAAGGAATGAGTGGTAAGGCTTGAAAGTCATGAGATATACCAGAAGGCATCTACGCATAACATGCAAACGGAGGGAACGTGACATTGACTAACCTCATATACCCTTGTATGTCAATTATTTACCTCAATTCACTGGATAAGTTCTGGTCCAGATCCGTCTTTTTTGATAACCCTGACTGATGAGGATATTATTTTCAATAAAAGCTGACGATTAGAACTGTTTTTTTATTAGGTCAAACCTTTACCCATTATGCCGGGCCAAAAGTTTAATTTTACAGCAGATCGCAATTTTTGGCCTTACAACGGCATACCTACGAGACCATGACCCATGGCGACGCAACAAGTAAACAGCCGTGTTCCTTGTTTAGTTCTGTGTGCAATGCCGCCCGCGCCCCGCGCCGTCGTTGTCGCGCCGCCGGCGCCGGCTGTAGATCGCCGCACGGTGTCCTTTAAAGCACCACACTGTAGTAGGTGCGCCGGCTGTAGATCGCCGCACAGTGTCCTTTAAAGCACCACACTGTAGTAGGTGCACCGGCTGTAGATCGCTGCACGGTGTCCTTTAAAGCACCACACTGTAGTGGGTGCGCCGGCTGTAGATCGCCGCACAGTGTCCTTTAAAGCACCACACTGTGGTAGGTGCGCCGGCTGTAGATCGCCGCACAGTGTCCTTTAAAGCACCACACTGTAGTAGGTGCACCGGCTGTAGATCGCCGCACAGTGTCCCTTAAAGCACCACACTGTAGTAGGTGCGCCGGCTGTAGATCGCCGCACAGTGTCCCTTAAAGCACCACACTGTAGTAGGTGCACCGGCTGTAGATCGCCGCACAGTGTCCCTTAAAGCACCACCGCTGCTCCGAATTAAAAAAGCTAGGGACACGTTTTTGCTGTCAAAACAAGCACAGTGAGTGCCCCACACGCTGCTAAAATTGGGGCGCAATTGCGCAGTACGCCAAGTAAGAGGCGTGCCCAAACAGCCTAAGGGAATGGAGGGGTCGCATCGTCCACCCTATCAGGGCGAGGGTTAATCACCGGGCCAAAATGCCATTGCATTTATTTTACAGGACAGGTTGAAACAGTGCTGGAGAACGTACCTGGAATATGTTGTTGCCCTCGCTGTTCAGGATCATGATGCACTGATCGAAGTGGTGGTGCTCCATGGTGCTTGTAGAGTAGAGCTTTGCCAACGGACTGTCCGTCTTGGATTGGAAGGCGTTGTTTGTGCCCCGGTGGTCCAGGTCGTGCGAGAGACACGCCACCATCAGGCCCAGCACCTGTCCACACACATACACATACACACACACACAACCAATATTAAGTGCTTGTCAAGTACCAAATACGACGTAAAGAAAGTGGCCGTTTTTGCTGTGTACAACCATACCCGCGCTTTATACACGAAATAGTTGTTTTATGCTTCATCTTATGTTAACTTCGCTACGCCGCTGTAATAGGTAGATGTGCAACACACGCCTACTTTCCGAATGATCATTTATCAACCAGATAACGGTCGCTTGGATTTAGATTGTGCGGTGCCAAACCCAGCGCGAATGTGAGCCCTATTTGAGACCCGTTCAGGTGGCTGGTTGGATGCCCTTCACTCGGATGCAGGGTTCAGCTTGACCTCCGGACACCTCAAAAGTGAAGAGAGCTGGAGACACCAAATTTACAGGGTAGGCTGGGCTGTATCGATTTACAGGGTAGGCTGGGCTGTATCGATTTTGACAGGGCGTCATAATTTGAGGTTCCATAATATTTGGGTCATACTATGTCAAACAAGGCTATACCCTATATTGCTGTCCAAGGTGCCAACCAGACCTCCTCACGCAGCCGCCTGGAACCAAGATACCTGCTCCAAGCAAACAGTCGCTGATGTGCACTCAAGGTCAGTGACCTTTTTACCCTTTAAAAAGTCATGGAGATTGAAATCCTACGAGAATGGATTGCTCTTTCGTATCTGAATGGGCGTCAAGGGTTAAGGTAGGTGATGTGTGTTCCCAGAATCAAAATGTTGACCTGTATCATCTTAGGCCAGAAAACTTTTCTGACTTTTGAGAAGTCCATGGAAAATTATGCGGCGGTTCCTGCTATTGATAACTTCGAAAAAAAACACTCCAGAAACCAACTCATAGAACAAGCTCTCACTAAAAAAGCAGGTCCTCTTGGACCTCTGTCCGACCTTCATACCTTACCTTAAGTCCATTAAATAGTGAATATAATTAACGTTTTGCCTATTATATAGGTTAGGTTAGGTTGCCTATATTTCAAACATGTGTCA